CGTTAACGCAATGTGGGTGGGTCGCGGGGTGGGTCGCGGGTGTGTCGCGGGTGGGTCGCAAGTGGGTCGCGGAATGGGTCGCGGGTTGGGTCGTGGGTGGGTCGCGGGTGGGTCACGGGTGGGTGGCGGGTGGGTGGTGGGTGGGTCGCGGGCGAGTCGCGGATGGGCCGCAGGTGGGTCGCGGGTGGGTCGCGGGGTGGGTTGCGGGGTGGGTTGCGGATTGATCGCGGGTGGGTCGCGGGTGGGTCGCGGGTTCGGGTGTGTCAGGTGGGTCGCGGGCTGGGTCGCGGGGGGGACGACGCCAACCATTAACAAACGACAAACAACAAGCACCAAACACCAAGCACCAAACACCAAACAACACACAACACACAATCAACAACACACAACACACAACAAACAACAAACTACAATCATCAACAACAACAGCAGCACCACCACCACCAACAACAGCAACACAAACAGAAACACAAAAAGCAAAAACAACACCAACAACAACACCAACAACAAACATCCGTATCGCAGAATCCCACTTCAGCCAGGCACCGAGGGACAGTGAATGACCGTTCGGCCCCCTCACTCTGACTAAGGTCAAAGGTTGCCGCCGACGACAACAACGAAACAACGGTGACGGCGACGGCGACGGCGACAGCAACGGCAACGGCGACGGCGACGACAACGGACGACGACGACGACGACCACGGACGACAGACGACGACAACCGACGACGACGACGGCAACCGACTGCGAAAACACACCACCGACTAGCGACGGCGATGGTAACCGACGACGACGACTACGACAACCGACTGCGACAGCACACCACCGACGACCGACGTCGACGACGACGACGACGGCAAGCCGGACCACAACCGAAGACGTCGACGAAGACGACGACAACCGACAACGACGAGAACGACGACAGGCGATGACGACGACGACGACGACAGCAGGCAACCGACGACGACGACGAACAGCGACAATCGAGGACGACGACGACAACGACGGCGACGACGACCACGACGACAACGAAGACGACGACGACAACGACGAGGAGGACGGCAGGCGACCGACGACGACTACGACAACCGACGAGGACTGAAGGCGACCGATGACGACCGCTGACGACGACGACGACGACGACGACGGCAGGCGACCGACGACGACAAAGACGAAGACGAGGACGGCAAGCGACCGACGACGACGACGACAAACCCGACGACAACCGACTGCGACAACACACAACCAACGACCGGCGACGACAATCGACGACACATGACGACGACAACCGACTGCGACAACAGAAAACCGAGGACCGACGTCGACATCGACGACGAGCCTGAAGACAAGCGACGACGCCGACGACAACGACAAGCGATGATGACGACGACGACGACGACGACGGCAGCAGGCGGCCGACAACATGCGATGATGACGTCGACGACGTGGACGGCAGGCCACCGACGTCGACGCCCACGACGACGCCAAGCGATCGACGACGACCCGCAGCGACGACGTCGACGACAACGGCGACCGCCTGCGACAACAGACCACCGACCACCGACGTCGACGACGACGCCAACAGATTACAACCGACGACGATAACAGATTGCGATAGCAGACAAAGGACGCCCGACGTCAGCGACGGCGAGACCGACGAGAAGCGACGACGATGGCAGGCGACAGACGACATCAACCGACGACGAGGACAAGCCATGACGACGTCGACGACGACGATGACAGCAGGCGACCGACGACGACGACATAGACGACGCCGAGAACCGACGATAACGACGACCAGCGGTGCCGACGACATTGACGAAGATGACGACGAACAGCGATGACGACGACGACGACGAACAGCGATGACGACGTCGACGACGACGACGGCAACCGACGATGACAGGCGACCGACGACGACGACGACAACGACGACGACGGCAACCGACGACGACACCAACAGGCGATGACGACGACGACGACGGAAAGCGATGACGACGACGACAAGGACGGCAGGCGACCGACGGCGACATCGACGTCGAATGCGAGCAATGACAATGACCACCGACGACGACGACGACGACGACGGCAGGCGACCGACCACGGACGACGGCAACGACGACGACGACGATGACGAGCCCGACGACAACCGACTGCGACAACAAACCATCGACGACCGACGACGACCACGACAACCGTCAACAGCCGACCACGACAACCGACCACGACGGCAGACCACCGACGACCGACGATCACGACGAGCCCAACGACGACCGACGACGAGGACAAGCGATGACGACGACGACACAGGCGACGCAGGCGACGACGACGCCTGACGACGACGACAACGACAACACACGACGATGACGAAAAAGACGACAACCGATCACGACAACCGACCACGACAGCAGACCACCTACGGCCGACGATCACGACGAGCCCGACGACAGCCGACGACGAGGACAAGCGATGACGACGACGACGACGGCGACGCAGGCGACGACGACGACCGACGACGACGACAACGACAACACAAAAAAAACGACAACAAAGACGTCAACCGACGACGACGACGACGAGCCCGACGACAACCGGAGACAACCGACCACGACAACCGACCACGACAGCAGACCACCTACGACGACGAACACGACGAGCCCGACGACGACCGACGACAAGGACAAGCGATGACGACGACGATGCAGGCGACGACGACGACGACGAGAACCGACGACGTCAACGACAACACACGACGACGACGACGACGACAAAGACGACAAAGACGACAACCGACGACGACGAACCCCACGACAAGCGACTGCGACAGCACACCATCGACGACGACGACAACTGACGATAACCGACCACGACAACCGACCACGACGGCAGACCCCCGACGACCGACAATCACGACGAGCCCGACGACAACCGACGACGAGGACAAGCGATGACGACGAAGACAACCGACGACGCAGGCGACGACGACGACGAGGACGGAAGGCGACCGACGACGACCAACGACGGCAGAAGACGGATGACGACCGACGACCGACGTCGACGACAACCGACTGCGACGCCAGGCCACTGACGACCGACGACGACGACGAGCCCGACGACAAACGACAACGCTGACGACGACGACAACCGACGACGACGACAAGTGATGACGACGACTGCGACGACAACGACGGCAGGCGACCGACGACAACAACGACGAAACCGACATGCAACGACGAAGCCGACACGCAAAGACGGAGACGACAAGGACGGCGACAGGCGACCGACGACGACAGGCGACCTACGAGGACGGCAGGCGACCGACGACGACGGACGACGACGACAAGCGATAACGACGACGACGACGACGACGACGACGACGACGACGACGACGACGACGGTGGCATGCAACCGACAACGACGACCACGACGACGGCAGGCGACGACGACGACGACGACGGCAAGCGACGACGACGGCGACGACGACGGCCCGCGATGACAACCGACGACATCGACGACGAGCCCGACCACGACAACCGAGTGCGACAAGACCACCGACGACCGGCGACGACGACGACCGACCGACAATAGGCTGCGATAGTAGGACACCGACCGCGAGGCGACAAGCGACGACGACGACGACGACAACGACAAGTGATGACGGACGACGACGGTGACGACGACAACGACGGCAGGCGACCGACGACGTCAACGACGAAGACGACGACGACAACCGACGACAGGCGCCCGATGACAACAACGACGGCGACGATGGCGACATGCGCCGACAACGACCGACGACGACGAAGCCGAACAGGACGGAAAGCGACCGAGGACGACCGACGACGACGACAAACGGTGACGACGAGTCTGTCAGCAGGCAACCAACGACGACCGACGACGACGCCGACGACAACGACATGCGACCGATGACGATGGCGGCAGGCAGCAGACGATGACGGCAGGCGGCCGACGTACCGACGACGACAACAACGGCAGGCGGCCGACGACGACCGACGGCGACGACGATGACGACGACAAGCGATCGCGACGACGACGACAGCAGGCGACCGACGACGACGACCATGACGACGGAAGGCAACGATGCAACGATCGACCACCGACGCCAACGACGTTGACGAGCCCGAGGACGACAACCGACTGCCACAACAAACCGCCGACGACAGACGACGACGACAACCGACAACAACCGACGACGACAATCGACAGCAACAGCAAACCACCGACGACCGACATCGACGACGACGCAGAGCCCGACGACAACAGACGATGTCGACGACAACGTACGATGCCGACGACGTCGACGACAACGTCGACGACGATGACGAGGACAGAAGGCGACCGACGACGATCGAAGACGACAAGCGGTGACGACGAGCCCGACGGCAAGCAACCAACGACGACCGATGACGACGCGGACGACGACGACAACCGACTTCGACAACAGATGACGACGACCGACGAGGACGACCGATGACGACGAACGGCGACGAGAAACCACCGACCGACGACGACCGCGGACGACGACGTCTCCGACGACAACGCCAACGACGGCAGGCGATCGACAACGACGACGACCGACGACCGACGACCGTCGACGAGAACGGCAGGCGACCGACGACAACGACGACGACGACAACCGACGACGACAAGCGATGACGACGATCACGATCGACGACCGACGACCGACGACGACGACGACGACGACGACGACGACGACGACGGCAGGCGACTGACGACGACGACGATGACTTGCGAGGACGACGACAACGACGACGACGACAACCAACGACGTCAAGTGATGACGACGACCACGACAAGCGACGACGACAAGCGATGGCGATGACGACGACGACGGCAACCGACGACGACGACGACGATGACGACGACGACGGCAGGCGACTGACGACGACGAGGACGGCAGGCGACAGCCGACGACGGACGACAAGACCGACGACGAGCCCGACGACGAGCACGACGAGGACCTCCTCTCCTGCCCCCCGCAGCGTGCAGTGTGCGCCCCGACGATGCCGCGCCCCGGCGACCTCTCAGCGCCTGGCCGGGCCGATCGGGCCGGGCGCCTGGCTCCGCGGGCAATTCTCGTGGCTGTGCCAGGGGCAGCCCCTGCCCGCCCCAGCGGCCGCCGGCGGCTCGCCCGCCAGGCCTGGAAGGAGGGAGGGGTACGACGAAGCCAGGACGATGCCTGCGAGGCGGGGATCTATCCATATCCACCGCCTGGGAACCGACGTCCTGGTGCCCCAGCGGGCGGCGGATATGGATATATATATATATATATATATATACATATATATATATACATATATATATATATACATATTTATATATATATATATATATATATTGGCCCCCAGGGGCCCGGATGTATCCATATCCACCGCCTGCCGAGGTCACCGAAAATTGATTCTCCAGGCGGTGGTCATGTATAAATTCCCGCCTCGGAATCATCTTATCGGGTGAGGATAAAAACCGAAAATCCCTGAGACCCGGCAGCTCCGGAAGATGTCTCGGGCGCCGCGGCCCTCTCAGAGCGTTCCGGAACGCTCGGGAACGGTTTGCTCCTCGTTCTATAGCCCTGTCCGAAGAGAGCTGCGTAGATGCATAAACTTTCGGAGCTCTGGCCATACTTCTTGGATCAGCGCTGCGCCTGGGCCCAGCGCCGATCCAGGAACTCCCCTGAGATCAGACGTAGCGAGCAAAATGCAACATCTTGGAAAATCACGGCTGGAGCCTCGGACCCCATCTTTCTGCAACCTTTTTCGGGCTGGATCGATCTCTGAGGGCCCCAGGGCCAGAAACCTGGCGAAAACGCCCAGCTCGCGAACAAGTAAGATGCCTAAAGCCCAGGGCCAGCCCAAGAATAGCCGCCCAGAGCTCCGAAAATTCATGCGCATGCACAGGACGAACAGGATATCTCATGATAGGGCTGGCTCAAGATGCGTTCCAGGATTTCCGGAGTATCTAGCGGCCCTCGTCTCTGGAGCCCGTGCGGAACACGAGGGGCACCTGGCTCCTGGAAACATTGGCAATCTGGAAACGTATCATTATCGTGACCGCGTCGTGACCTCTTGCTCCTCTGACTTTCGGGTGACCACAAAGAGGGTCCAGCTGCAAGGGGGTGGTACAGTAGATTTGGGCCAATTATTTTGCAAATATATTGCGCCGGAAAATTTGATTGCATTGTATTGCAACAAGTGTATTGCACGCGAAAGTCCAGCAACACATTTGCGCCCCGGCATGTATTGCACGCCCCAAGAGTATTGCAACCACCCACGAATCTATTGCACCACATCAGACCCCCTTCTGGGCCAACCCGATGACTGCAACTCGGCTAATACGCAAAGAGTGACCCCAGGAGAGAGCGACCCTTGGGGTGCGCGGCGGCGGGTCGGGCCGCGAGGCACGCAGGGCCTTCGGGGTCCCAGCCAAGCGGGTGGCTGACGCCACGGGGGGAGGCGCCGCAGTGGGTCAAGGGGCCCCAGGACACACAAATAAATACACACAAATAACAGGATTACCCATATTTTCGTATATTTTCTCAGTTTTTGTCTTCCCCCCCACTTCCCATATTTTCCAATATTTCTTGGGGAATCGAAGATTAATTGTGTCTGTGTGTTCTTGTTCCCTCTTGAGTGGTTGCGAACGTATCCCTGCGCAGGGAGAGCGCAGCGTTCGGGGCGGCGTTCGGAGGGCGGTTTTCGGGGGGGGCCGGGGGAGGGCCGATCGCGAGCGCGCACGACGCTGCTGTCGCATCGCGCGCGGCCACCGGGGGACCCCGGTGCGCCCGGACCAGAGGTCACCTCTGGCGAAGGGTCCCTCGTAGCGTGCAGCCGGGCAGCTTGATCCAGGTGGGGCATGTCGTCCTGCAGGCGGATTTTGGCAGAAATGTCAAACATAGCAAAACAGCAATAGGGCAAAGAATAATCAGCAAATAATCGACAAATCGTCACCACACTATATTTGTACCATTCCTGAGTCTGAGTATTCCCCCTGTAGAGGGACATGCCCGACTTGACACTGTTGCATCGCTTTCGGCCATCGGGGCACCCCAGTGCGCCCGCACCAGAGGTCACTCTGGCGAGGGGTCACGCCTACGTGCAGTCGAGCAGCTTGATCTGGGTCAGGCATGTCCTCCTACAGGCGGATTTTGACAGAAATATCAAAGATAGCAAAAAACAAAAATCAATAATAGTCAACAAATATTCGACAAATCGTCAGCACACAATATTTGTACCATTCCTATGCCGGACTTGACACTGTCACATCGCGTTCGGCCATCGGGGCACTCCAGTGCGCCCGCACCAGAGGTTACGCTGGCGAAGGGTCCCTCTAACATGCATCGGCGGCGAACGAGGGGGGGAAGTGAGGAGCAGGACTCCTCAGAAGGCTCGGCAGTCCTCCAGCCTTCTCAGAAGTCTTATGAGCTTTCCCCGAAGGCGCAAAACAAAGTCGCCCAGAAGGCGCGAGAGCTTCTGAGAGGTCCCGCTGCCTTCTGAGAAAGCCTTCTCCTACTCACTTCCCTCCTCGCTGGCCGCCGAATGCAGCCGCGGCCGCACGTGATGTGACTCTGGCGTAGGGTCACCTTGCCATCGCTCGGACGTCCATTCCGTGTGCATGTGTCGGCTTCGTGTTTCTATTTTTCGCGAGATGATCCCAGATGCTCCTCGATGCTTCCCGCCGAGTAGACATGCACACGTCCGAGCGATGCCAAGTCACTCTTACGTGCAGTCGAGCAGCTTGTTCTCCCCTCCCGCGGCCGCGGGGCTCCGCCGGCGCCGGCAGCTCGCCCGCCCTCGCCGAAGAAGCACCGCACGGCCGATGCTTCGCGGAGGCCCTGCGGTGCCTCGCCGGGCCCGCCGCGGCGTGCAGGCCGTCGGCGACGGTGGTCAGCAGGGCGGCGCGGTCGCTGGCCCACGCGCGCTCGCTGGCCCTCAGCTCCGCCTGCCAGGACAGAGGCCTGCCCAATGGGGTGAGTTGATTCTCGGCGGCTTCCCAGCCCTGGGATGCTTTCCGGCAGCTGCGCCTCGCCGACCACATTCCAGGGGTGCCCGGGTCGTTCCGAACGGCCGCCACGCCAGGTCAAAGCTTTCTTAATCGGCGTTTCGACATTGGGCGGAGGGGGGGGAGGGGGGGGGTCTGGCTCCAGACCTCTGCCTAGCGCGGCTGTTTGCAACAGTGCGTCCATTATGGGGGAGACTCCACCTGCTCGAAACAAGCGCCAAAAACAGCCAAGACCTACTCCACGGGGGGGGGAGGGGGGGGGCGAGGGTCCGCGCCGATCGGCAAAACAATGAATTAAAAACGATCGCCCGAGAGCCGAACTATGACCTGAAAACCGTGGGGCATCGTTACAGTAGGAGCTCGACCACAAGAAACCTTCCACAAGAAAACCCAACCATGAGACCCCAGGACGTCAGTCGATTTTTGGTGCGGGGACGTCACGCTTTCCATGGCAAAACCGTCGAAACCCAAGAAACCAAGGGCACCCTGGAGGCAAGCAGGGTGTTTCTTGGCATGTGTTTCCACTGTGGAGGCTTACCCAATGGGATCCGAGCAGGTGGAGTCGGAGGATCGCGCCGCATGGCAGGTGCATCGCCGACGCATCGGCGATGCATCGGCAACGCATCGTCGGCATCGGCTATGCATCGGCGATGTCGGCGTGGAGAAAATCGGGCTTCACGTCGAGCCGCATCGACGATGCATCGGCGATGCGGCGCGATCCTCCGACCCCATCTGCTCGGACCCCATCGGGGAGGCCTAGGCAGGAGCAGTCAGCATCGAATCGGGAGATCGATTCGGATAGAAGTCAAACGTTCCACCCCCATAATAACCACCCCGACACGCGAGGTCGTTTAGTAAACGCGCCCAAAGAAGGAATCGAACAGGGCAGAGCTGTTTAGTAAACGCCCAAGGCCGTTTAGTGAATGCCGATTGTCCGGTTCGGGCCTTTTTTCATCGCTTGATCGGATCAGAACGTGCATCGAATCCGACCGCATCGGCTCGGAGTCTAAATCGAATCGGATCGGCGGCGCCAGGCTGCATAACCACGCCATCCAAGCACCGCGCCGCATCGGGTCGTCCGACATCGAGCTGGATCGATTCGGGTCGAAATCGACCCTGGCCTGTTCGCGGTGGAGCTGCTGGCGCAGCAGGGACACCTTGGGAAACAACTCCTGGGAAGTCCTCGCGATGACCATTGGGGGCTCTACCGGGCCGGGTTGAGGGGTTGATTCAAGGCAGATTAGGCCAGATCAAGCCGGGGATGAGTCAGGCTAATGAAATTAAGCCAGATTTTTGGAAACCAAAAGGTACCGATGCTGTTACTGCTACTCCTGGAACTCTCCCAGGGTGCGTTCTGACAAGGATTTCGAGGCGAATCCATCAGTAACGACGAGGGCCTCCCACGAGGCCCCAAAAGGGGAAAACGGGCGAAGGGTAGCGGTATGGGTACCTCTTCCTCCTACGAGGACTAGCGAGATTAAGCCGGACTGGGCGGGATCGTGCCGAAGTCAGCCAGGCTTCGACCACGGATCCACCAGCGCCGATGCCGACTCAAACCTCCCAGGAGTTGGGTCCAACGGGGAGGAGGAGGGGGAGGAGAAGGAGGAGGAGGAGGAGGAGGAGGAGGAGGAGGAGGAGCAGGAGCAGGAGGGAGGAGGAGGAGGAGGAGGGAGGAGGAGGAGGGAAGAGGAGGAGGAAGAGGAGGAGGTGGTGGAGGAGGAGGAGGAGGAGGAGGAAGAAGAGGAGGGAGAGGATGGAGGAGGCAGAGGAGGAGGATGGAGGAGGAGGAAAGAGGAGGGAAGAGGAGGAGGGAGGAGGAGGAGGAGGATGAGGAGGAGGAGGAGGAGGAGGAGGGAGGAGGAAGAGGAGGAGGGAGGAAGGAGGAGGGGGGAGGAGAAGGCGCCAGCCGATGCCGAAGCAGACCTCCCGGGAGTTGCGTCCGACGGCACCTGCTCCTCGAGGAGCTGGGCCCGGCCGGCGGAGGCGGTGGCCGAGGTCTCTAGCTGGCCGAGGCCCTCGCGCTCGCGGCGGATCTGCTCGCCCTGCTCGCGCAGGGCGCGCTCGAGGCGCTCGATGCTCTGGTCCTGCTGCCCCAGGACGGCCGCCTGCCGGGGGGGAGCCACCCGGACGCCCTCGAGCAGAATGAGCCACGTCATGGCGGGAAGTTTTGCGCCATGTTCGGCCTCCGGGGGACCTCGCTGGGCCTCGGGACCGCCAAAAAACGACTGAGGATGAAAAGCCCGTCCTGGGGAAGGGGTCCAGACTTCTGGGGGTCAACGTCATGAGAACATCTTGACGTCGGGGGTCTGGGCAAGAGGCACTGGTACCCCTACTCGCCAGGTCTCGCCCGGTGCGCGTTGCCAAAATTCCGAGAGGCGCGGCGAAATCCAGCCAGCCGTGGCGACGAAGGCCTCCCGCGACGCCAATCAGCCAGGATCGCCACGGCCAGAATCCAGCCGTGGCGACGAGGGTCTCGTACCAAGGGGCGAAAGCGACGGGAAGGGAAGCTGCGTCGGCTTGGTTTTCAGGCCTTACCTCGGGCAATTCTGCGGCCGATCGAGACGAGCCGAGCAGCCCCAGAACGCTATCGGCGAAGCGCAGCTACCGGAGAGCGTTCCGAGGCTGGAAAACCGCCGAGCACGGACGAACACGTCCCTGACAAACCCGAGTATGCACCCGAGCAAGCAAGGGTGGCGGCATTGGAAGTACCTTTAAGTCGGCCCTGTCCCTCTACAGGAGGAACATTCATAAATGGTAAAGAGATAGCCTGGGGACGACTCTTTGACTATTGTTGACAATTTGGGGCTATCTTTTTGACTATCTTATAGCTTCCGTCCAACATCCGCCTGTAGGGGGACGTGCCCGACCCAAAAGCACCTTTGCCTCCTCCGAGGCCTGCTGCTCGCACTCGCGCTGGCGCTCCGCGGCCGCGAGCCTCAGCTCCTCCTCGGCGCGCTCGGCGCGCCCCTCGGCGCGCCGCAGGGCGGCCTGCGCCTGGGCCTGGCACTCCAGCACGCGCCGCTCCAGCGCCCCGGCCCGCTCCTGGAGCGCGCGCTCCTGGGGGGAAGGGCAGCCAGGCAGCGATACCGCTGCAGCAGGAGCTCGACCACGAGGAACCCTCCCCACGAGAAGCCCAACCCCGAGACCCCAGGACGTCCCTCGACGTTTTTGCTGCGGTGCTTCCTGGCACGGGTCTCCTCTGTATCCCCACGGGCCCCTCCTGGGGCGCGCTCTACCAAGCAGTGTAGATGATGTGGTTTGCAAGCAAACCATGGGCATGGATATACACGCGCCCATCGATTCGTGCGCAGATATACATATATACACATATCTTATGCATGCCGCGCTGGAAACTTCGGGGTGAACCCAGCCGTGGCGGCGAACGAATCCTCGCGCCACCGGTGCCTGGTCCTCCTCCGAGCTCCTGCTGCGCCTCCGCCAGGCCGCCGCGCTCCGCGGCCAGCCGGGCGTCCGAGAGCTCGCTGCGCGCCGCGGCGAGCTCGCCGTCCGCGCGCGCCTCGCGCACGCGCGCCTCGCGCAGCTCCGCCGCGAGCGGGGCCACCTCGGCCTGCCGCGCCGCCTCCGCGCGCCGCAGCCGCTCCGTTGCCGAGGCGGCCGCGGCCTCGCTGGAGCGCAGCTCGTCGCGGACTGACCTCAGCGACGCCTCGTGCGCGGCCCGTTCCCGCCGCACGGCCTGCAGGATGGACGTCGCCTCCGCTCGCGCTTCGTCGTTGCGCTGGGCCTCGCCCTGGGCCATCTGCCCAAGGCAGGTGGCCTCCACCTCGGCGGCGGCCAGCCTGGGATACCACAAGGTACCGATAACTACCGCTCCGGGGAGGCTGGAAGGACTAAGAGCTGGATCACTGCGGACAGAATGAGCAGAGTAATTAAGGAAACCCCTAGGGAAGTCGCGCTCGCATGAAGCTAGCACAAAGGGAGCCCATGCCACGACCACAAAACACAAAGACCTCATGGTAGCCCCAAAACAGCGCATCGCATCACCCGCTCTCAAGTGTGGCGCGGACCGACGAATAAAATTGCCGGAAGCCCAGAGCATGCAACACACAAATGGGCCCAGCCCGCTGTGGTTCCAGCCTCCCCGTACTCCACGGACCCCTTTCGGGGTTACCAGGCTGTCGAGGCAGGGAGGGCCCCGCCGTGGACGCGGGGGCCTCCCAGGGAGGGCCAAGGATGGCGAGAACGCCAGGGGAGAGGTGGCGGCGTCGCTGCCCTTCTCCTCCGAGCCGCCGTGCCCGAGCGCCCTCCGCGTCGGCGCGCAGCCGCCGCTGCTCGCGCGCGGCAGCGGCGTCCACGGCGCGGAGGAGGCCCTGCCACCGCAGCGGCCGCCAGCGCCCGTGCAGCGCGCCGACCAGCGCCATGCGCTGCCGGTGGCGCACGACGGCGGCGAGCAGCGCCGCGCCCTGCTCCACGCGCCTGCTGCGCTCGGCGCCGCGCCTCTCGCGCTCGTGCGCCTCGCGCGGGGCCAGCGAACAATGGGCGACGATGTACGAAGACGAGGCCAAGACGAGGGTAACATCGGGCCAGGATGCATGGCGAGTCTCTGAGATCCGGCGGCTCTGCAGGATGTCTCGGGCGCCGCGGCCTTCTCGGAGCGTTCTGGCTCGTCCTGGCCCCGCCCGATGTACCTCACCTCTCTCCCTCCCGCCCTCTACCCCCTCCCCCTGCGCCGCCAGGCTATGTGCAGGTCCACTGCGGCGGGGCCAGGAAGGTCCGACCATGCCTCCCCTCTGACTACCTACCAGACCACCCCAACCCAACCCGAAGACCCGAATTTCGGGTTGGGGTGGGGGTCGGGTTCCATATGTGTTTTCTCGATGTTCCCCGACCCCCCCGCCAACTGGAAATGAAGGGCAAATCGAGACCATCGGGTTGGGTTGGGGTGATTTGGTGGGTCCTCCCTGAGCATCGTTTCAGCGATCACGATCCCTCTGCGGCGTGCGGCCGCTGCACGCGCCATAGGCTACTTCCGCCACCGCGTGGGCAGAGGTCAGCCCAAGAGGCGCGCGGCGCCTCCGACGCTGCCTGAAAGCACTTGGCCGTGACGTCTCCGCTGGACACATGCGGGTCATCACGGATGCTGGGCGACTCGGCCTCCTCAGGCCCTGCGCCGCCCAGCCCCGGCACGCGCCGTTCGGAGGGGGGGGAGGAGAGGGAGGGGGACTGGAGGGACATGTGCTTTCCACCCCGATCGAACGGCCAGAGGACGGCCCTATCGTCACTGGCGTGGCCTCGGCCCCCCTTGCCGGCTTGCAAACTTACCCACCTAGGCGGGAATGTAGGATCCAGGGTTGCCCCCCTCCACACCCCAATGCATACGCGATCGAGCAGCACCCCGAAGGCATCGCGAATGGGATCGCCCCCGCCCTCCCCTGTGGTCGTGGCCCTGTGGCGTGCTGTAGGGTGCCAGGGCCCCACCTCCCCCTGTGGGTGCGGGGTAGTGCGTCGTCGTCGGCGTCGGCGTTCCGTCGGCGTCGGCGTTTTCTGTCGGCGTCGGCGTTTTCCGTCGGCGTCGGCGTCGGCGGGCGCCGGCGGGCGCCGGTGTTGGCGTCGGCGTCGGCATCGTCGTCGTCGTCGTCGTCGTCGTCGTCGTCGTCGTCGTCGTCGTCGTCCCCCTCCATCCCATCTGGGGAGGAGGGGGGGGCCTCTGGAACCCTGGGACCCATTCCACCTGGCGGGGTGAGGGCCTGTGAGCCCTCGACCCAGGATCATATATGCCTATATCCCTTCGGGTTCCGCGAGCCCGTCCCCGCCTCGGAGGGTGGGCTGGTGGGGCTGAGCTACCATGGCCCGACAAGGATGGGGATAATTAGGTTCGACGATGCTGACCCTCCCCTCCCTCCCCCACCCCGCTCCCCCATCGGCACCTGGACCCCTCCCAGACGCAGCCCTGGCGGCCATGAAGCCCCAACCCGCCTCACGGGCTGTGCTTCCTGCCTGCCTTCCGCCTCCGCCCCCCCACCCTGCCACCATCTTTGCTCCTCAGCCCAGGCTCACCTCGAACCTGAGAGGAGGAGGAGGAGGAGGAGGAGGAGGAGGAGGAGGAGGAGGAGGAGGAGGAGGAGGAGGAGGAGGAGGAGGAACCTTCGACTCCACCTACTCGGACCCCACTTGGGAGGCCTGGAGGAAGGCAGGGCCAGAACGAGGACGAGGAGGGGGCGGGCGAGGACGAGGATGACATCTTGGGGCCCCTTGCAGCCTCGGCCGCCTCGCGCCCGCGCTCGGCGGCGGCGTGCCTCCGCAGGCCCTCCAGCGCGACCCCGCAGCGGCGCCGGGCCGCCCCGGCGGCACAGCGCGCCACGCACCGCGCGCCCGCCACCGCCCGGGCCCGCGACCTTTGCGGGTGAAGACCGGTACAACATAAACCGGGACGCGAACGGAGATGCTAGAACTGTGCGTCCTCCTCGGAGGCGCGCGTCCGGCCCAATCATATATGACTAGCACAAGCATCCTGCAGCATGCCGTCTCCCGAGGGGTACGGCCGGAAAGCGGCCACCACGGAGCTTGTACTACAAGATTTCTCGGCGCGCGCGTCGCCCCAGGGGGGGCGACGCACACTTGGTATCAGTGGGGTGACGCCGAGGGTCCGCCGTCAGGGGCGATTGTCCCAGGGCGGCTGGACAGTTGATGCCTCCACCTGGGGGCATATCCGCCACCGTGCCTCTGGGCATGGAGTGGGCGTGCCCTCGGGTCCTTTCCCGAATCCTCTGAAGCCTCAATCCTCACTCCTGAGGAGCCTTTTAAAGGCCCCGACCCCACATGGCCAAATTTGGCCGGGCTTCCCGCGTCGTGTCCAGGGGTTCCCGCGTCGTCCCGCGTGACTTCTTGGGGTCCAAGAAGGCTCCATGACGGGGCAAGGGGGTCCCAAGAGGCCCCCAAGACGGTCCAAGAGGGCCCCGACACGCCTGCAGACCGCTCCACGACGCTCAAGATGGCCCCCAGACGGCCAAAGAGGCCTCCAAGACGCCCCAAGAGGCCTCCCAAGAGGGCACCACGTTTTCCTTTTGCGTTTGAGCGATTTTGGCGTTCTCGCACGCTCGAAGACGGCCCAAGACGCCCCCAAGAGCGCCGCAAGACGGCCCAAGAGGCCTTCAATGGGGCCGCAAAACAGCCAAAGAGGCCCCCAAGACGGCTCCAAGAGGGAGCCCAAACGGGGGACCCGAACGGACGTTTCGAGCCCTCAGCCCCGAGAGGTCCCCAGGAGGCCCCAAGAGGCCGCCCAGAGGCCCCCAAAGGCCCCCAAGAAGCCCCCTGGAAGCTCCGTGGCGGGATGGGCCGAAGGCCATTCGATAATTTTCCCGGCCGCCCTGGGACAGGCGCGTCCCATGGCGGAACAGTTCACGTCATACCCTTCCCTCCCCTCCCCCCACACCTCTGCTCCAGCGCCACGGCGCTCCGCCAGGCGCCCAGCGCCGCCGCCGCGCCGCGGCCCTCTAGGTCGCCCCGGCGCAGCTCCAGCAGCAGCCCGCGCCCGGCGCGGAGCCGCTGCAGCTCCCGCCCCGCGCGGGCAAGCGCCGCCGCCGCCTCCTGGCCGCCCGCCCGCGCCGCCCCCACGCGCCACTCCAGCAACGCGGCCCTGCCGCAGCAGCGCTGCAGCAACGCGCCGAGCCGCCTGGCCGCGCGCTCGCGGCGGCACCCGAGGACCAGGGCGGCCAGGGTCGCGCGGCAGAGCCTCAGGCCGAGCCGCGCGTCGAAGTGGCGGTGCTGGCGCCGGCGAACCCGCTCTACGCGGCACCACGTGCCCCTCCACGCGGCCAGGGCGGCGGCGAGCCTGGAAGCGCGCCTGCGCCGCAATGCCGCGGAGAGGCCAGCCTCCCGCATAAGCGCGCAGGTGCGGCGCGCCGCGTGGAGCCGCAGCTCCGCGAGGGCCCAGGAGGCGCGGGAGGCGAAGGGAGCGGCCACGCGGCCGGCGGCTCGCGCCGCGCCATGGACGGCCAGGAACCAGGACCGCAGCAGAGCCAGGCCGTCCCGCCTCGCCTGGCCGTGCTGCATCCGGGCCACCAGGAACCGCTCCCTGGCCGAGAGGGCCGCGGCGGCTCCGTGGTGGGCTGAGCGGCGCCAGTCCGACAGGGCCCGGCCTAAAGACTGCCCCACCGAGCGCACGAGCACCCGCGCGATGCACCTGGTGGCCATCGGCCGCCGGTCGGCACCGTAGCGAGCAGAGTAGCGTGCGCACTCCTCGAGCCGCGCGAGGGCGTGCCGCTTCCGCGACCGCGCCGCGGCTGCGGCCGCGGCGCACAGAGCGCGCGCCCCTGCGGCCTGGTCGCTGAGCAGGATGGCCTCCCGCCGCTCGGCGTCCCGAGCGAGGCGCTGCCTCTCCCGTACCAGCGCCAGCAGGCCGTCCAGCGCCTTCTGGCACAAGGCGGCCGACCTGGCGCGCTCCAGACGCCCGAGCCGCCCCCGCGCGGCGGCGAGGCAGGACAGGGCGCGCGAGAGGCCCCGGGCGAGGCGCCTGGTGTGGGCGGCCTGGGCAGCCCAAGCCAAGGCCGACAGCCGGCCCGCACCGCTCTCGGCACGCGCCCGCTCCCTGTGCGCGCGCGCGCGGCTGCGAGCCACCTCCGCGGCAGCTGCCCAGAGAGCGGCCCCGAGGCGCGCGGCAGTTCGCGCGCGCGCGGCGGCGGCCAGGCGGGCCCAGGCCTCGCCTCTCGCCACGGGCGCGCGCGACGCGCGCATCGCGGCGGCCAGGCACCGGGCCGCGGCCCCGACCTTGCGGTGGGCCCAGAACTGCCACGTCAGCGCCACCCGCGTGGCGCTGACCTCGATGGTCAAGGATGCGATCTCGACCTCCATGGCGCTGGTCCTGTAGTGGGCCTCCATGCACTGTTGGCTCAGCGCCTCGTGCTGTTCCGCTGCCTGCGCGCGGATCTCGTGCAGCTCCTCTAGCAGCCCCGCCGCCTCCTGTCGGCCCTCCTGTTCCAGCTCTGCGAGGTCCGCGTGATGCGCGGCGGCGCGCTGCTGGCGCCAGGTCGCCCACGCGCCATTCCTCAGGACCCCCAGCACCGCGCCCACGAGCAGGCGCGCGCCGCTCTCCCCGCGCGCCCCGCGCAACCTGGTCCGTTCGGAGTCCAGCCGGGACAGGGACACCATGCACTGCCAGTGCGCGACCACCTGGCGCAAAGCCAGGTCGGACGCCCTGTCGACCCACCTGCTGGTGCAGCGGTGCACAGCGTCGATGTAGAAACCGCTGTGCGCCCTTGCCGCGGAGCGCAGGTGGGCCAGCGTGCCCTCGAGCTGCACGCGCGCCGCCCTCCGCACGTCCCCCGCCCACTGCTTCAGCGTGGCTCGGAGCTGCTGGCGGCAGAGCAGCCCCTCGAGCCAGCAGAGCGCCAGGGACTGGTCCCGCCAGAGGACCCACCGCCGGAAAGCCGCGCCCGCCTCGCGCAGCTGCGCGCGCCTCCGCAGGCTGGGCGCCGCACGCTCTGCCACCGCGAGCACCCGGAGCCGCATCGCGGCCTCCTGGCCCTGCGCCTCCATGAGCCGCGCCTCGAGGTCGGAGCGCAGAGCCTGCAGGTGGAGCTCGCCACTGCGGCCCGCCTCCTGCAGCCGCTCTTCGGCCAGCCTGCCCAGCTCGAGCTTCTGGCCGCGCTGCTCCGCCGCGGCGTGCAGGCGGTGCCAGGCCCAGCGCTGGCGCCCCGTGGCGAGGCGCTCCAGCGGCCGCGCCAGCCGGCGCTGGCGCTCGCAGACGAGGCGCCAGGCGACCACGCAGCGGCCGCCCAGCCACCAGGTCTCCGAGCACGTGCCCTGCAGCGCCCGCATCGCGCGTTCCGCCTGCCGCAGGGCGTGGCATCGGCGGCGACAGGCGCTTAGCGCCGCGCCGCGCCTCGGGCGGGGACGCAAGGGGCACAGCAGAGGGGTCGCAGGGGCACCGTGGGTCACAGGGGCACCGCGGGTCACAAGAGCCACCCGGGCTCTCGAGGATCACGAAGCAGGCCACAGGGGGTCGCAAGGGTCATGAGCCACAGGGGTATCCTGGCTAGCTGGGGTCAGGCCTCACAAGGTCAGGAGGGTTTTTTGGGCCACAGCTCTCACGAGGTCGCTCGGGCAAACCTGGCCTGGGGGTGCGGGGAGCCACCACGAAAGAAGATCGAAACCAATCCTGGGAGAGCGTGAACACCAGGCCAGGGGGACGGATTTGGCTGTGGCGGGGAGCCACAGTTGTAGAGCTAGACCGGTGGGATCCCACTGGCCATGGGCGGTCGTTGGGTCGGGGAGGCCGAGTTGACTGTGACCACAAGCGTGACTTTATTCAGGCTGGACGGGAGGAGGGGGCCTGGAAGCACACACGGGCCAAAGCGCTACGATGTTCACGAGGGTCGCGAGGGCCCCCAGGGTAACAAGGAAGGGCCCACAAGGGCCACAAGGGTCGAAAGGGTCACCCTGGCCCCAGGGCCCACAAGAGCCACGCAAGGACTCCAGAGAGGTAAGCGGCTCCGTGGCCTCACCGCGGCGCAGCGCTCGATGCCAGCGACCAGCGCCCGCGCGGCGCGGGCGCGCTGCGCTGCGCGGGCACTCCGGGAGGCCGCCGCGCGCAGCGAGGAGGCCTCGAACGCCCCGAGGGCGCGCGACAGCTGGCGCCGCTGGTGCTCGCGCAGGAGCCGCACGAGCGCCACGGCACCCGCCTCCCTGCGGCCCGCGGCCGCGCAGGCCTGCCGCCAGGCCGCGAGGCCCTCGCGCATGCCTCGCCGCAGGCACCGCAGGGCGCCGACGCCGAGGCCATGTGCGGCGAGCCGGACGTCGCACTGCAGGCTCGTGGCGGAGCTGCCGCGCAGCGCGGCCACGCCCAGCGCCTGCCGCCGCCGGGCCACTCGCAGCAACCACCGGGCCACGCCCAGGGCGCCGGCCGAGCGGCCCTGCCCGGAGCACTGCCGCAGCCCCGCGCCGAGGCGGCAGAGCTCCCTGGCGGAGTGGGCCGCGTGCGCGCGGAGGGCCATCCCTCGAAGGCGCTGCGCGCAGAGCTCGCCGCGGGCCGCCAGCCTCCGCGACCTGTGCAGGCCGCAGAGCCCCGCGCGCAGGGCGCAGGCTCGGACGGCCTGCTCTGCGCGCCGCCAGCGCCACTGCACGGCGCCTGCCCGCCGCACCGCGAGGAGCAGCGAGTGCTGCTGCCGGCGGAGGAGCCCACTGGCGAACGCCTGCAGCTGCTGGCTGGCGCAGGCCCGCAGGCCCAACGCCCTGCTGGTCCACAGGGCCGCCGCGCGCCAGTCTAGTACCAGGCGCTGCCCGGCAACGCGCTGCAAGCGCAGCGACCACGCGGCCCACCTGAGGGACGGAAAGAAAAGGGTCTCTCGCGAGACGACGCGGCGACCCTGCTCCGCGGCTCATGTGGGGAGCAAGCGCGGCACGCTGCGTGAAGAAGCGGGCGCTTACGCGCACGACCCTTCGCGGGCAGCCTCGGCGCGAATGTCCGCGCTGTCGACTCGGTTCTCTGCGGTCCGCCCACCTCTCGCCGTCGGGCACGCGCCGCTCGCGCGAGGAGCGCCCCGGCGGAAGGCTGCGAGCCCGGGGCGCTGCACCGCGGGGCCAGTGGCCTGCTGGCCTCGTGGATCCCAGAAGCATCAGGAAGCATCCAGGAGATACCGCAGAAGCTGTCAGAGGTCCATTCGGCGCGAGCGAGGGGGGGAAACGAGAAGGAGAAGGAGAAGGCCTTCTCCGAAGGCGGCGGAACTTCTCAGAAGCCCTCACGCCTTCTGAGAAGATGTCTTGTCTTCGGGGAAGGCTTAGATGACTTCTCCGAAGGCCAGGGGACTTCCGAACCTCCTCAGAAGGTCTTCTCCCTCTCACTTCCCCCCCTCGCTCGCCGTCGATCCACGTGGACCTCTTGGGTCGGCGCTGCACCCCCCCCTCCCCACGCCCGCTCCCCGGCGGAGCGCCTCGGGGAGCGGCGCTGGAGGCGCCGCCAAGGGGTGACCATGGGGGGGGCGTCCAGCGCCGACTCGAGAGATCCGCGTGGACCTCGAGAGCAGTTTTGTATTCGCGGCGATGACGGGCGCTGCGGAAAGGGGGGGAGGGGGGAGTGGGAAGGGGGGCGTTGCGTAACGCCCACGGCCCACACCATGACAGCCTGTGGTGCCAGGCGCACTGCGGCAGTGCCAGGGACGCACTGGGGGGAGGAACGTTACGTTATGGTGGGGGAGGGGGGGAGGGAGGGGGGGGGGCATAACGCGCGTTATGGCCCAGAGGGTGAAAACAAAAAACCTCCTCGACAAATCATGTTGACGCCGTTCTTCTGGTCTCGCAGCTGGTGGGTTTCCGGAGGTCCCCCATGCAGGGGCATCTGGAGGCAATCAAAAGCACCCAGGAACATCGGGACACCCGGCGTCGTGATGTCTTGATTGCCCATCGGTCGGAAGAAGTGGGTAGAAACATGAATGAAGGGGCCCTGTGACGCACAAATAAATGCACACAAATCAAAGGTTTCCCCATATGTTCTTATATTTTCTGGGTTTTCGTCTTCCCCCCCACTTTCCATATTTTCCCATATTTTCCTAGGGATCGACGATTAATTGTGTCTGTGTGTTTTGTCCCCTCCTGAATTAAGTAGGGAGGCGTTGGATGTAGAGTGAGCGCTCGCCCGCCTGCCGAAAAGGCGGGAGGAAAAGCCGCTCGATCTTCGAAGTATGCAGACACCTAAAACAGACTCCTCCTCCTCCTCCTCCTCCTCCTCCTCCTGCTCCTCCCCCCCTTGCTCCCCTGCTCTTGCTCCTCATTTACCTCCTCCTCCTCCTCCTCCTCCTCCTCCTCCTCCTCCTCACCCTCGTTTTCATCTTCGTCGTCTTCAGGGTCGGCGGCACTGGCCGTAAGGCCTTCGCAATAGATCGGGATCTGGGAGTCCAGAAATGCCAACCTTCAACGACCGGAGTGCACGTGACCCCCAAGAGGTCTCGAGCCTTTCCCCCCCCGAGCGTTCTTCGTCCCGATCCGTTTTTGTGACGGTCTCGGGGCCTGTCAAGGAGCCTCAGACAGAGGCCAACATGCGAGAAAAAGGGTCTGTACACCATCCCAGGGCCAAGGATGGCCGTAGCAAGGCATGATGGTAGAAAGGGGCCCTGACACACACACACACACACACACACATACACACACACACAAATGAATACACACAAATAACATGATTCCCAATCATTTCCTATATTTTCTGGGTTTTTGTCTTCCCCCCCAATCCCCACATCTTCCAATTTTTCCTGGGAATGGACGATGAATGGTGTCTGTGTTTTTTCCCCCCTGAGATTACAGACGCCTTCTGCGGGCGGACATCGTAGGCAAGAGAGCCAAAGACAACTTCTGGTGCGCGGCTTGCAGGCCGTTGCATGAGATGCGGCAATAGCGGCCTGCATGCTCAGGCTGCTCTGCTACCCCCCAGCCACGCCCCCTGAAAGCCGTGCACCACGGTCACTCCCGCAAAGGTCGGGTCGGGCGAAAGGGGGGGGCAAGCAAAGGGGGGTTTGAGAAGCAGCTCACGCAGATGACTTTCCCGGCGCCTCCTGGCGCTGGGAGGCGCCCAGGTATCGAGGAATGGGCCCCTCGGTGGGGCCGAAACCAACTGCACGCAGCAGATTTCGTGACCCCCCCTTCCCCAATCCCCCCTTTCGTCCGGCCCGAAAAGGGTCACTCTCACGTCTTGCCGATCAGCTGCACAAAAGCTAAGGGCCACCTCACGTTCCTTGTCCTCTGGCTTGCGGGTCCTAACTCACGTCTCTGGCGGCGGCTCGGAAGTCCAGGCACCTCCGAAAAACTCCCGGCGAGGCGCAATTGCTGCAGAAATCGATCTGGTGTTTCATGGCTTTTAAATTGGGGTCCCCAGAGCTATAAATTTGGAACGCTGGGGGGCCCGATGCCGTATTTTTCCAATCCAAACGCCCTCTCCAACAACACCGGGTGTCGATGAAGACCGGTGTTTTTTATCTGTCAGGCCGGCTGGGCTTTTAAGCCAGTGGCTCTTTCCTTCGCTGGTGCTTTTTTACTTCTGGGATGTTGATGTACATAAAGTCACTGGTCCGTCTCTGCCGCGTCCTGTCACGGAGTGCACGGGTCACTCGAGCGATGTCGTGGTCGCCTCTCTGTCCGAAAAAAAACGTCTCGCATAGCTTCTTGATGGTCCTGGGGCCCTGCGACGGTCCCCAGACTCCTACGCTGGATGTGCGTGGGCCCGTAAATTTGCCAAGAAGCATGGTGCGGCGACAGATTCTGCGGTGACCTCGGAATCCCAACCGACCTCAACCGCCGTTACTGCACGGCTTCGGGACCATGGAGGCGCAAAAGTCGCCCTGGTCGCCCTCGGAGAACGACCCCAGCCCCAAAGCCCTGCCCTCACCCCGATCGGTGGTTCAAAGATGGGGTCCTGATGGATGGGGTTTGGAGGACGAGGTACTTCACACAATGTAATGACATGTATTGTTGTATCCCTTCCTATCCGAAGGTTTTTATCCCTCAGGACACCTTCTTTGAACCACCGACCCGAAGCCCCATCGACAAACCTCGGGAGCGGCCAAGAGGGCGGCGGCCAAGAGGGGGGTGCAAATCATGGCCGGCGGCATGTGCGCGGCCCAGTGGGGGGGCCGGGGACGTATTGAAACAAGAAGAGGCATCATGAGATCTGGGGAAACATCATGGCCCCCGCCACGATATCCCCCCCCCGAATCATCACCCCCCTCTTCGCCGCCCCCGAACACCACACGACTTGGGGGGCCCCCGACCGGTCTTTCGCCGGCGGCGGCGGCTCCCCGGGGCTGCTGCTGCTGGCGCTGCCGCCGCCGAAGTCGATCACCAGCTTGCCCTGCTGCGGCTGCGCCGGCAGGCCGCCGGCCGCAGAGGCGGCGGGCCCCCTGGAGGAGAGAGCCCTTATTGAAGGGGGGGGTGCAGCTGCAGGCGGCAGGGCACCTCGGCCGTGGACGCCCTCTTCGCCGAAGGCGGAGAAGGCAGTTGAGGGCCACAGGACGAAGAAGGAGGAGGAGGAAGAGAAGAAGAGGAGGAGAAGGAGGAGGCGGCGGAGGCGGAGGAGGCCGGCCCAGGTCCGCGATCCCGCCTCCAGGCCGGCATCCTATACAGGGCCCTGCAGGGCGGCCGACAGCCGAGGAGGCAAAACGCTGCCTGCACGTCTGGGCCCCCGCCAGCCCCAGGGGGGGGGGTCGAGGAGGACCGAGGAGTGAGCATCGAGGGGCGCCGAGGTTGTGCGAGGCATGGATGTGTCCGATGGTGCAGGAGAAGGAGGATGAGACAGAGGAGGAGACACAGGGGGAGGTGGAGGAGGGGAGGGGGGATGAGGTTGGCAGGCGCCTTCTAGGAGGTCGTCGTAAGGGGTAACTGCCAAGCCTGTTTAAGAGGCTATTCAACCAAATTGGCCGGATGGAACGGGACTTCATGGAATTCACTGGCATCTTGCCGGATTGTGCTGGCTTTCGACCACGGATGCTGAATTCAACCTCCCAGGAAGTGCATCCTACGGTTGGCGTTGGAAGAGTGCAACATCGATCTCCGAAAGGCATACTATACCGGTGAGGCGATCCCCCCACGAAGGCCCCTCCTGTGACCGCCATCCCCCGGCTAGGGCGTCTTCGGTGCACGCTATCCACGAGGTGGGGGATAGCGTGTACAGCAGGTTCGTGTCGTGTCGGCTCGGCGGTGACCCCAGCACAGGCTTTCAAGATTTCACGCCGCTGGCCGCCTGTAACCAGCCAGTACTGAGTGTCGGACGCTGATCGACACTAATGCATTCTAAAAACGGAATCATAAGGGTATGCGAGGCTCCCATGATTTGCTACGGAAGCTGGAAAATAAAAAGGTACCGATATTGCTACTCCCCGGACCTCTCCCGGGGAGCGTTCTGACCGGAATTTCGAAACGAATCCAGCTGTGGCGACGAGGGCCTCCCAGGAGGCCCAGAAAGGGGGAAGCCAGGAAATGGTAGAGGTATGGGTACCTTCCTCCTCCTCTGAGACACAGCGCACGCCATCTTTGCAACGCCGAGGAGGGGCTACCAACTTTTGAGCCGAAGCGACCCCTTGACGGAGCATACTCTTTGGGTGGAGGGCAAAGGGTGAAATCTGAAATGCCGTTTCGATGGATCTTCGAGGCTTGCACCTGCCAGCGGTGAAGCACAAGACGGATCGATTCTCGAGGTGCAGGAGTCTATGTGGATTTCACCCTGAGCCCCCCACCCCAAGGAAATGCTCAGCTTGAGCTGCAGCGGGCCTCTCGGCCCCTCCAGCCGCCACGGCGGCCGCGCCCCACTCGGCGAGGCACGCTGGCGCCCCCGGGAGCCGCAGCGGCGCGGCCGAGCGCGCCTGCGGGCTTGGCGTTATTGTCGTTGTCCCCCTCCTCCTCCTCCTCCTCCTCCTCCTCCTCCTCCTCCTCCTCCTCCTCCTGTTCTTGGGCAAGCTCGAGGCGTCAGAATCCTCCTCCTCCTCCTCCTCCTCCTCCTCCTCCTCCTCCTCCTCCTCCTCCTCCCTCCTCCTCCCTCCTCCTCCCTCCTCCTCCTCGTGGTCGCCCTCGCCGCCGCCGCCGCCGCTGCCGCAACCGCCGTCGTCGTCGCCGACGTCGTCGTCGTCGTCGTCGTCGTCGTCGTCGCCGTCGTCGTCTTTCTTCGTCCTCCTCGTCGTCATCATCGCCCTCGCCATCGTGCCGTCCTCGTCCGCGTCGTCGTCCTCGTCTTCGCCGTCGTTGCCGCTGTCGAGGGAGAGAGGGAGAGAGAGAGAGAGAGAGAGAGAGGGGAGGGAGGGGATGGGCTAGATGCGTGAACCTGCGCCTCGCGCGGCCGCAGCCAGGCGTCCAGCGAGCTCCCTAGCTGGTGGCTTGACCGAGGCTGGGCGGTGGAGGCGCTGTCGCGCACGTCTGGCTCGTCCTCAGAGGGGACAGCGATCCTCCTCCTGCTCCTCCTCCTCCTCCTCCTCCTGCTGCCCCCCTCCTCGTCCTCTTCTAAAACGTCGAGGGCGCAGCGAGGATTGCACCCAAATCATGGACGAGGGTATACTGTTCTTCAGCCGCTTATCCCGTCCTTTCTCGACCTATGTCAGTTCGAGGATGAACTGACACTCAGTGGCGATGGGTGAGCACGTTGAAAATGCGGCAGTAACGGCTGGGTCGCTCCAAGGAAGGTTGCGGGCATGCGATTCTGATCACATCGTGCCCCGCCCCCATGCCGCGAAACCCAAACAAGTCCTCCTCTACGACGAAGCCAGGATGGGGACAACCTTCGGAAGAGGGCAACTCGGAAACCTCTAGGGAGGCTGGCGCGTCTGGAGGACGCATCGGGCGCCGCGGCCATTCCAGGGCGACCAGGGACGCTCTGACAGCGTTATGAGAGCGTTCTGGCACGGCGTATCGAGACATCCGCACTGGCCGTCGCATGCACAGCTTTGTTCAGATGCTGCTCTCTTGTTGATCTCGAATCCAGCCCTCTGGCATCCTGGTGAGGGGCAACGTTCGGGGGGACCAGCTCAGGGGGAGAACTGATCTGGCATCGGCGACACGTCGGCAACAGATCGGCGATAGGCCCGCGATAGCGAGCCCGCCACGCTCCTGGGCGGGGCGGGCCATCGCGCCCCTGCCGCGACGGAGGGCCGCTGAATCCCCCCCGAGCCCATCGCCCCTCTACCGTTGCCCCCGATCCGACCGGCCTTCGGGCCATACTTCGGCTCTCGGGTGGCCGTCTGGGACGAACGGGCCCCCCTCGAAACACTCTCGGCGAGGCGCAGCTGCTGAAGAACACCCCGAGTCTGGAGAACCGCAGAAAGTGGACGACGACGTCCGATCACCTGAGTCCTGGAGCCCGACATGTCCCCCCGCAACAAGAGGCCTGCCCTCCCCCTCCCTCCCCCCAGCGTTGCACCCATACGCCTGTCCCCCTCGTTGCCCCTGAAGACCCTGGGCGTCCAAACAGAACCTTGAGGCCGGCGTTCCTGGGTCTGGGCCCCCCGCGGCCCGTCTCGGTCCCCCAGGTCCACCACGACACCAGAAGCAGTCCACTCCGCGTCGTACGAGCGTGCCAGGCCGCACTTCTCTCCCGCGCGCATGGCTGCCGCGCTGCTGCGCTGCAGCGAGCAACACACGGAGGGGGAGGAAGTAACTGGCCACAAAGTTATCCCTATCCCTAAGACCGGCAAGCCCAAGGCGATGTCAATCTTAGGGATGTGCCCTCAGAGTCCTCAAGATCAGAACCGAGGTAAGGTGATACCAGACACAAAAGGGATAACGGAAGGATGAAGAGAGCAGAACCAGGAGGGGGAGGAAGGGCGAAGCGAAACGAAGCGAACGCCGGAATCGTGCGCGCTCCTTCGGGGAACACGCCCGTGCCCAGCAGGGCATGGCGAGGAGGCTGGGACCTCAGAGATGGGAGCATGGGGAGGGCCGAGGAGGGGGGGGAGCTCAGACCAAATGACTCCGCCGAACTAGAAATGGAAGCCACGAGTTGAGGAGGGACGCGCGCGGCTGACCTTTCATTTTGCCGCTGGGGTACTCATCGCTTGGGGAGAACCCAGTCCGCGGGTGACACCTGGCCTTTAGATGTTACAGGGCCGTAGCCCTAGCCCGACTACGTGGGGCGGCGCGACCGCCGCTGGGGGAACCCTAAGATAGCGATACAGCTACTCCCCCGACCTCTCCAAGGGCGCGTTCTGACCAAGACTTCGCGGCGAACCCAGCCGTGGCGATGAAGGCCTCCCAGGCTGACCAACAAAAACGAGAACGATGGTGGGGTCGCGGCATAGGCCTGGACTGCGGGCCGTAGCCCGGGTGTCCGGCGGCCGATCGGGACGATCCGAGCACCTCCGGAACGCCCTCGGCCAAGCGCAACTGCTGGAGAACACCTGAAGGGGCCCTGGGACACACAAACAAACACACACACACACACACACACATGACAGGAGTCCCCATCTTTTCGCATATTTTCTGAGTTTGTGTCTTCCCCCCCCACCTTCCCAAATGTTCCCATATTTCCCTGGGAATCGACGATTCATTGTGTCTGTGTGCTTTTTCCCTCCTGAACACCCCGAGGCTGGAAAATATGACGGCCTCCTCCGAGACTGCACGGCGCGGCGCGGCCGCCGCAGGCCCCGGCCTTTCCTCGCCTCCGCGTCGGCTCCTTGCGCGGCAGGCGGAAGAGCACCGTCGTGGAGCTGTCCCGCAGGCCTCACGGGGGATGGGTGGGGGGCTCCTCCTCCTCCTCCTCCTCCCTCCTCCTCCTCCTCCTCCTCCTCCTCCTCCTCCTCCTCCTCCTCCTCCTCCTCCTCCTCCTCCCCCTCGTCCGTCCGCGCTCCAGCTCCGGGGCGTTCCTCAGAGGAGGGCGAGATGAGACGACGGCAATTGGCCTCTGGGGGGGGGCCCGCCGAGCACAGGGCTCGGCTGCAGGGGGCTGGCGCGCGCCAGGGTAGGTACACAGGTGCTCCTCCATCGCCGCTCCCCCCGAAGGGGGGGGGGGGGACACTCGTCACGCTCGACGAGGGAGACTGGAGCCATCGGAAGCGGCTGCGGCGCATAAGTGGCGAACAGTCGCACGACCGCGGCGTGGTCCTACACACGGGTCCGTCACGCAACCCTGCAGGGGGCGCGCCCCCGCGCTTCAAACTCGAGGGGCCGGGAGCGGCAATCAGCGAAAGATTAGACACTCCTTGCAACAGCGCCATGAAGTCGCACACTACTGGCACTCAAAGTTTGCACGATTTGCCTGGGCTGGCAGCCCGACTGCATCAACGCATGACTGGGGTCTGACCCTCACGAAAGGAGCACGGGCGCGAGCGTGCGCAGGCACGGTCAGGAGCTCCCACGGTCGAGTTGGGGGAGGAGCCGCTATAAGGGGTGCCCGAGTAGAGTTCTAGAATACGCCTTCCGCCCCTGTCGCGCCAGCCCTGCGCCCCTGCGCAAATCGTTTTTGGAGTCCTTCGCTGCCCTTATTCATCTTGAAGGAAAGCACCGGATCCGTACGCGCTATTTCCCCACCGTTCGGAACCGTCCAACACCCATCGAATTCGCGTAGGATCGGTCCAACAAGCCTCGGATCCGCCCAGGATGCGTAGCGGATCCGTGCCCGGATACGACGCCCGAGGCGAGGGTGATACCCCCGAACGGGAACCCTCGTCATCGTCTGCGGTGGCCCCTGCAGTCGTTTTCGGGTGCCCGACGCTGCGCCCATCGCCCGCGACCAGCCGCCAAAGTTTCCTTTTCCCCAGGCTGGCTGGGCCGACAGTCTGGCACCGTCGTGCGATGTGAGACTTCGGGCCGCACTCTGAAAATCTGGTCCGTTTACCTGACCGTCTGCAGTGCAGCTATCGCGTCCGAGCTATTCACCCAGTGAGGATAGAACGCGGGAGGTGGAGATTACAGTGTGCCCCGTCAGCCGAGGAGAAAATTAACAGCCTCCTTTTCTGCGGCATCGTCCGTGGGCCAATCGCTTGCGGACAAGCTCGAAGGGAGGAATTGGACTGGTGGGTGTGACGGGAGTGTTTTGTTCGTGCAGTCCCCTTCTCGACCCACTGGGGCCTACGGTGGAGCTCCCTGTGGGGCAACGAAACGCTGCCCTGGGTGGGAAAACCGCATGCGGGCATCCCCCACTGGGGCCTTCGGTGAAGCTCCCTGTGGGGCCACGAAACGATGCCCTGGGTGGGGGAACTGCACTGGGGCTTGCGGTGGAGCTCCCTGTGGGGCCACGAAACGCTGGCCTGGGCGGGGGAACCGCATGCGGGAACCCCCACTGGGGCCTTCGGTGGAGCTCTCTGTGGGGCTGCGAAACGCTGCCCTGGGTGGGGGAACCGCACGCGGGCACTCCCAGCGGGCACTGCCAATGGGGCCTACGGTGGAGCTCCCTGTGGGGCCACGAAGCGCTGCCCTGGGTGGGGGAACCGCATGCGGGCACCCCCACTGGGGCCTTCGGTGGAGCTCCCTGTGGGGCTGCGAAACGCTGCCCTTGGTGGGTGAACCGCGTGCGGGCACCCCCACTGGGGTCTTCGGTGGAGCTCCCTGTGGGGCCACGAAGCGCTGCCCTGGGCGGGGGAACCGCATGCGGGCACCCCCACTGGGGCCTGCGGTGGAGCTCCCTATGGGGCCACGAAACGCTGCCCTGGGTGGGGGAACCGCATGCGGGCACCCCCACTGGGGCCTTCGGTGGAGCTCCCTATGGGGCCACGACGCGCTGCCCTGGGTGGGGGAACCGCATGCGGGCACCCCCACTGGGGCCTTCGGTGGAGCTCCCTATGGAGCCAGTGGGGCCCACAGGGGGTGGGGAGGAGGAGGGGGAGGAGGAGGAAGGAGGAAGGTGGGACGCGGGGCGCTGTCTCTTCAAAACGAGGACCCAACACCACAGGATGGTTGGGAATACATCTTTCGAAATGAGGACCCAGCAATAACAACTTTCTTTCTAGGACTGTTCGATTGTATCCTCGCGCGTGCCTTTCAACACGATATCCCAAACCCTGGATACCCGCCGTCTTCGTCTTCGATCTTACCCTCCTTGAGAATAGATCCTCCTTACATGCTACGTGCAGTTGGCGCACATCCTATTACAGGGGGAGGGAGGGAGGAGAGAAGAGATAAGGGGGAGGGATAAAGTTGGAGCACGAGAGAGATTTGCAGGAGGGGGTTCGGAGTAGGAGTAGAGGCGGCAAAACTAAACTGGCGGGTCGGGTGGGCGGGCCCAAACGTCCAGGTCGGGCGGGCGGGCCCAGGCTGCCGGTTCGAGTGGACGAAACGCTGAAGCGTCAAACTAACATGAATCATGAGGAATTTCCAGATATCGCGCGATTGCCAAGTACTCGTGAGGAAATCGAACACGCGAGAGCGTGCCTGCCGAGTGTTGGGGGCGCGGCGCAGCAATGACTGGCGAGGAAGCACCATACGAGAGCGCGATTATTGCATACGTTGTTCGGGAATCCTGGGCGAAAACGCGATTTCGAATAAATCGTGAATACGTATCAGGCTGGAGCCGTTGTCGTGGTAGCTCGGGGGCCAATCACGTATTCTGAAACGCAAAACTTTCTTGGGTAAAAAAAACAAGGTGCGAGCTCCGGGAGGAGCACTTTGAATGAAATACACCTTGGGCGCTGGGCAGGGGGATCCACAATAATCGTTCGTTAGAAATGATAGCTCATCAACATTCATTTTAAGACTGTTCGCTCGTATCTGCTCGCGTGTATTTCCAAAACCATCGGTACCCGCCCTCTTCGTCTTCGATCGTGCACCCTTAGGGGTATATCTCCCTTACCTGCCACACGTATGCGGCACAGCTCCTAAAACAGGGGAAGGGAGGACGGATGGGAGGAAGGGACAACGGGGAGGGGGAAGGATGGAGCACGAGACAAATATTAGAAGAAGGGGGGCTAAGAGCAGAAAACATATCAAAACCAAATGGGCAAATCGGGCGGGTAGACCTGAACGGGGGAGTCGGGAAAGCGGGTCTAGGCTGCCGGGTCGAGAAGCGGGTTGCTGAAGCGTGAATCCTGCATAAACCGCGAAGAACTCTCGAGCAATAGCGCGATTCCCAAGTAAACCGCGAGAAGCGTAAAAGCGAGAGCGTGCTTCCCGAGTATTGGGGGCGCGGCGCATTACTAATTTGCGAGGAAGCACCACGCGAGGGCGCGATTCCTGCACACACTCTGAGGATACATGCTGAGGGAATCCCGCGCGACAGCGTGATTTTGAAATAACATGTCACGACGTATCAGGCGGAGGCGGCTGTTGCGGCAAACCAGGGGCCAACAACACAATCTGAGGCGCAAGACGTCCCCTTGCGAATGCAACGTGCAAGCCCCAGGAGGAGCACTTTAATTCAACAGTGACTGTTTAGAAATGAGTACTCAACATCGACATCGCCATCAGCATCAGCATCAGCATCAGCATCAACATCATCTTCATCATCATCAGCAGCATCATCATCAAAATCAGCATCATCATCATCATCACCGTCGTCGTCGTCGTCATCATCCTCATCATCATTATCAAGACATCGGCATATCACCGCGATCATGGTCATCGCCATCATCGCCATCACCATCATCATCACCGTCACCATCATCATCACCATCATCATCGGCATTGCCCTGATCACCATCATCAACAACTATCATCAATACCATGATGATCACCATCATCATCAGCAGCATCATCATTATCAGCATCATCATCACCATCATCAGCATCGTCATCGTTATCGTCGTCATCGCCATCATCATCGTCACCATCATCACCACGAGCACAATCCTCATTGTCATCATACTCAATCATATCAGTATCACCGTTTATCACCGTTGGCGTCGTCTTCGTCATCATCATCATCCTCATCTTCATCATCGTCATCATCATCGTGGTGATCATTAGCATCAGCCTTAGCATCCGCATCATCATCATCATCATCATCATCATCATCGTCATCCGCATCATCATAACCATGCTCATCACCGTAAACATCCATCATCATGGTCATCATGACGATTAGCATTAGCAGCATCATCATCATCATCATCATCATCGTCATCAGCATCCTCGTCATCATCCTGACCATTAGCATCTCATCATTGTCACCATCATCATCACCATCATAATCATCATCACCACCATCATCATCACCATCATCAGCATCCTCATCCTCATCCTCATCCTCATCCTCATCCTCATCCTCATCAGCATCATCATCATCGTCATCATATTTGTCGTTGTCACTCCCGCTTCCGATGTCCTCCTTCCATCACAATCTCTGGCCCCCCCCAACACCCCCCTCCTGCCTCCTCCCTATAACTCCTCCTCGTCCTCCCAGCTCTTCACTCCTCCTCCTCCTCCTCCTCCTCCTCCTCCTCCTCCTCCTCCTCCTCCTCCTCCTCCTCCTCCTCCCCGTCCTCCTCCCTTACAATTGCTCAATATGAATACTACTCTCCCTCTTCCCATGACGGCTTGAAAGTGATCGCCCCCCCCGCGTACTGTTTTTTTACACACCGGATTCCCCGGAGTTGGGTTTTAGCCTGCATTTTTTCCCAACGTGCTGCTCTCGCTGGGGCGCCTGCCTCATTTTCGGGCCCCGCTCGTTCCGAATCGTGCTCCCGCTGCAGCGCTGGCCTCATTTCCGTGCTTTCGCTCGTTCCGAATCGTGATCCCGCTGCAGCGCTGGCCTCATTTCCGCGCCTCCGCTCGTTCCGACTCGTGCTCCCGCTGCAGCGCTGGCGTCATTTCCCGTGCCATGCCACGGCATGCAATGCAATGCTAAGTTGATACTACGCTTTGCGGTGCTCTTCTACGCCATGCCATGCCATGACTACAATGCATCGCGTACCATTTCGGGATCATTGCCCTGCTCGACATCCGACTGTGCGAGTAGAGAGGGGATCTACGCCATGGTAAGGGATGGGAGGGAGGGGTAGGATGTCAGATATGACGCGAGCGCACCTAGCTTGTCTTCCTCCCCATCCTCCTCCTCCTCCTCCTCCTCCTCCTGCTCCTCCTCCTTTCAGGGGAAGCGCTAGGGAGGCTCTGGCTCAGGGGGGAAACATCCATCTGGAATCCATCGCCGAGAGATCGGCGACGTGTCCCCAGCCCCAATCTGGGATGCATGGGCGATTGGAGGTCGATGCGTTCCCCCCCGAGTCCATCCACTCCTCTGCCGCTGTCGCTGATCCGAAAAACATTCGGGCCACTCCTCGGCTCTCCGGCGGACGTCCGCGAGTATCCGGCATCCCGGGAACGCTCTGGGCGAGGCGCAGCTGCTGGAGAGCACCCCGAGGCTGGGAAACCGCCGAGAATCGACGAAGACGTGCGAAAACATGGGTCCTTGAACCCGAGGCGTTCCCCCCGAGCTAGAGGCCTCCTGGATAGATGGGGTCGGAGAATGACGCAGCACCGCCGAAGCATCGGCGATGCACCGGCGAGGTCGGCAATGCATCGGTGACGCCAGCGCGGAGAAAACCGGGCTCCACATCGAGCCGCATCGGCGATGCATCGGTGATGTGGCACGATCCACCACCCTGGTGGGTCGCCGACCCTCGGGCCGCGCGGTAGGTCGCCGACCCCCGGGCCGCTCCTCCTCCTCCTCCTCCTGCTGCTCCTCCTCCTCCTCTTGCTGATCCTCCCTCCTCCTCCTCCTCCTGCTGCTCCTCCTCCTCCTGCTGCTCCTCCTCCCTCCTCCCTCCTCCTCCGCCCACCTCCTCCTCCTCCTCCTCCTCCTCCTCCTCCTCCCTCCTCCTCCTCCTCCTCCTCCTCCCATCAGCTCCGACCTCATCTGGGAGGCCCAGATCCTTGGCTGCCGAAGCGGCAAACATGGGCGAGGGTCGGCGCGCCCACGGGCGGGCCTTCGGACGCGTCGCGGGAGCCGCGCAGGTCCAGCACCCGCGGCTGCGGCGCCTGTCTGCGCCAGGCGACCAAAGGGGGGGGTCCTCCTCCCTCCTCCCCCTCGCCCTCCTTTTCCTCCTCCTCCTCCTCCTCCTCCTCCTCCTCCTCCTCCTCCTCCTCCCTCCTCTCCTCCTCCTCCTCCCTCCTCCCTCCTCCCTCCTCCTCCTCCCTCCTCCCTCCTCCCTCCTCCCTCCTCCCTCCTCCCTCCCTCCTCCCTCCTCCCTCCTCCCTCCTCCCTCCTCCCTCCTCCCTCCTCCCTCCCTCCTCCTCCTCCTCCTCCCTCCTCCTCCTCCTCCTCCTCCTCCTCCTCTCCTCCTCCTCCTCCTCCCTCCTCCTCCTCCTCCTCCTCCTCCTCCTCCTCCTCCTCCTCCTCCTCCTCCTCCTCCTCCTCCTCCTCCTCCTCCTCCTCCTCCTCCCCTCCTCTCTCCTCCTCTCCTCCTCCCTCCTCCTCCCTCCTCCTCCCTCCTCCTCCTGCTCCTCCTCCTCCCTCCTCCTCCTCCTCCTCCTCCTCCTCCTCCTCCTCCTCCTCCTCCTCCTCCTCCCCTCCTCCTCCTCCTCCTCCTCCTCCTCCCTCCTCCTCCCTCCTCCTCTCCTCCTCCTCCTCCCTCCTCCTCCTCCTCCTCCTCCTCCTCCTCCTCCTCCTCCTCCTCCTCCTCCTCCTCCTCCTCCTCCTCCTCCTCCTCCTCCTCCTCCTCCTCCTCCTCCTCCTCTCCTCCTCCTCCTCTCCTCCTCCTCCCTCCGCCTCCGCCCGCCTCCGCCTCCGCCTCCGCCCGCCTCCGCCTCCGCCTCCGCCTCCGCCTCCGCCTCCTCCTCCGCCTCCTCCTCCTCCTCCTCCTCCTCCTCCTCCTCCTCCTCCTCCTCCTCCTCCTCCTCCTCCTCCCTCCTCGGGGCGTAGCACGCCCAGGGGCAAACGGCGCCCTGGACGCGATGGAGCGAGGGCAAACGGAGCCCAGAATCGGCGGAGATCGGCAAGCCGGCGAGGCCTCAATTTGAAGGAGCCCTGGGACACCCAAGTAAATACACACAAATCACAGGATTTCCGCTTAGTTCCCCCTATTGTTCTAGGTTTTGGTCTTTCCCCCCACTTCCCATATTTTCCCATATTTTCTGGGGGATCGACGATTAATTGTGTCTGTGTTTTTTCCCCTCCTGAACCTTGTCTGTCCCGTCGCGACCTTATCTGCGTCGAATCCGAGTCGATGCCATGTTGGACTCGTGGAGTCCGCGTCGGATCCACGGTGAATCCGCGTCGAGTCCACGCCTAATCCGCGTCAAGTCCGCATCGAGCCTGCGTCGGGCACAAAAAACGACAGACACAACGTTGAGGACAGACGAGGTCTCCCGGGGATGCAACGTAAGGATTAGGGATCAAACGGGGGTGGTGGTAATCGTTCGGGTCGTTCGAGTCCCTTCAGGTGAAGCTCGGGAGGCCCGAACACAAACCTAACTCCTTGTGGGCCTCAGGCGGCAGTTCCGCGGCAGATTGGTCAGGTCAATGCTGTGGTGGCCCTGGTGGCCCTCAAGCAACCTTCTTCGAGCTCAGCGCGGACCTGACTGCGCTTCTAGTCTCACGAACAGGGCGGGATGGAGCGAGGGAGAGAGGGAGGGAAACAAACCACCTACCCAGGGCCAGACCTGGCGGGCGCAGGCCCGCAAACGCAAAAAGTGCAGATGCAACACCCGATCGAGAAGCGAGACACAGGCGTTCGATCAACGGAACGAAGATACAGTCAACCCGCATAGTAAGGATGGGCAACCTTCCCAAGGGTACCCAATGGTACCCTTGCATCCTTGCCTCCTCGGTCCATCCTTGGCCAGTTCTGATGGCCGCGTTGTGCTCGAAAAGCTTTGAAATGGCACTCCAGGGCCCTCGCATCCATATCCCGCATCCTTACTATACGGGATGACGATAGCCTGCGCGGGGGGGGGAGGCGGGCACCAATGCGAGGAGCGGAGGAGGAGGAGGAGGAGGAGGAGGAGGAGGAGGAAAAGGAGAAGGAGGAGAAGGAGACATGCCCGTGAAAACGCAACAAAACGAAGGTGCAGGCGTCGGCGACTCCGAAGGGTGTGGTTTTTGTCGAAGGTTGGGATTACAACCGGCACCCTGGGGGGCTGGCGAGGCCTCGTCATAGCTCCCCGCCGCGCCCCAGGCGGCCAGACGAGGCTCCCCAAGGACATGCCCAGACTTTCTTCGACCACTTGTAAACATCCCCCCTGTAGAGGGACAGGCCCGACTTCACCCAACGGTGCCGATCGCAAACCTCACCCCGCCGTGGCCCTGCCCTCTGCAATCGCCGAAGGGGGCTCTGCACCCCTGTACCCGCTACAGGCGGGACTGCGCCTGCTCTGCCGCAGGGCGGCCTGGCAGGCCGAGCGCCCTGCGCGCCGCTCGCCGCGGGACGGCCTCGAACGGCCCCAGCACGCCGCCCGAGCCCTCGGGCGCCCCCCCCACACGCGCCGCGGCCGACGGCGCCCTCGGCTCCTGGACGGGCCCCGCCGCCGCTCGCCCGACGCAACCGACGCGCACGGGCGAGCGGCCGTGCCGGGCAACGACGCGCTGCGCCTCGCGCCGCCTGCCCATCGCCCGACGATGCCGCCCTCGAGGATCGCGCAGGCGACCGTGCACGAGCGCGCAGGAAGCCACACTGGAGCCCGAGTGGCTGATGGCCAAGAGCTTAAGCCTCCAACCGACGGGGGTGGAGGAAGGAGGAGCGGGAAGATGAGGCGGACGAGGAGGGATCTTGGAGGCCACGTTGTGCTATCGATGTTTGCTTCTTTACTTCAGGCTGAAATGCAACATTAGATGTGGCGATTCCCTGGACATCCGCTCAGCTGCCGACACCTGCGATCTGGTTTCAGCACAATCACCAGGACTGGCAGGGGAGGAGGAAGGAGGGAGGGAAGGAGAGAGGGACGAAGGGAGGCAGAGAGGGGAGGGAAGAGGAACTGGAGAGACGGGGAGGGGAGGGAGGGGGGGGAAGGAGGGAGGCGGAGGAGGGAGAGAGGGAGGGAGAGAGGGGAGGGGAGGGCAGAGGTGGCCCTCATCACCACCGCTGCCGCCCGCCCAGGCCTCGTCGGCCCCGGCGGGCCCTCGCCTCGGGCGCGGCAGCTCTGGCGAGTCGGACAGCGCTAGCGCCCCCCAGTCGGGCGTGTCCGCTCGTCGTGGCGGCGTCTCGTAGCCCGCGGCGTCCCTGCGCGCCGGCGGCCTGGCGGCGTCGCCAGCCCCGAGCGCCTGGGCGATCGCCAGGCGCTCGCCCTGCCGGCAGTCACATGTGATCCCGACCCAATCATCATCAGCATCGGCGTCATCCTCATCATCCTCATCATCATCATCATCATCATCATCATCATCATCATCATCATCATCAATATCATCATCATCATCATCATCATCATCATCATCATCATCATCATCATCATCATCATCAGCAGCATCATCAGCATCATCACCAGCATGATCATGATCATCATCATCATCATCATCAACATCATCATCATCAGCATCATCAGCATCGTCATCAGCATCATCGCATCATCATCAGCAGCATCATCATTATCGTCCTCATCAACATCATAATAATCATCATCATCATCATCATCATCACCATCAGCATCACCATCACCATCAGCATAGTCGCAAAGGCCAACATCAGACAATCATGAATATCAATAGCATCATTAACATCAGCATTATCACACTTGCACCAATATAATCATCCACAACCTCATCACCATCGTCAGCATCCGCATCACCATCATCAGCGGCATCGTCATTCAACTCCTCATTATCACCACAATCACAATCACCATGACCATCACCATCACCAGCACGATCGCCACATGAACCCTGAGCTTCATCATGATCATGCTCAGAAGCAGCATCAACATCAGCATCATCATCATCAGCATCATCATCATCATCACCATCAGCAGCAGCAGCAACAGCCACATCATCATCAGCATAATCAGCAGCAGCATCATCATCAGCATCATCACCATCCTCATTCCCCATCCTGATGTCAACCTTCCACTTCCTCCTCTGCCCCAAAAAAATCCTCCCTGTCCTCCCTCCCCCCTAGCACTCCTCCTCCTCCTCCGAGCTCCGAGCTCCTCCACCTTCTTCTCCGTTGAGGGACAGCGCTAGGGAGGGAGCAGCTCAGGGGGGGAGGGGGGGAACGTCGACCTGGAAATCGACGATGCCTCACCGACGGATCGGCGAGGGATCCCCGGCTGCGAATCCGCACGGTCCTGGCAGGGGCGGGCTGTCGGGCCCCTGTCGGCGATGAATGGGCGATCGGGGGCATCGGCCCGCAGGTCAGATTTCTGCACACCAGTCTGGCGAAGAACCCAACCAGATGCAGCTGTAAACACCGCAACTGTGGGTATCGTCTTCCGTGGAGCTCCCTATGGGGCCACGAAGCGCTGTACTGGGTGGGGGAGACGCACACAAACTTTGTCACTGGGGCCTTCGGTGGAGCTCCCTGTGGAGCCACGAAGCGCTGTACTGGGTGGGGGAGACGCATACTGACTGCGCTACTGTGACCTTCGATGGAGCTCCCTCTGGGGCCACGAAAAGCTGTACTGCAAGGGGAGACGCATGCGAACTGCGCCTCTGGGACCGTCGGTGGAGCTCCCTCTGGGGCCACGAAACGTGTGAGGGGTGTGCCAGAGTGAGGGGGGTGACGGAAGGAGGGAGGAGCGGGAGGAGAAGAGGAGAGGGGAGGAGCGCGGGGCGTCGGGGCAAGTACCGACCAGGGCTCGAAGTTTGACGGAAGTCTGTGGCCATGCGTGCACGGCAGGGGTTTGTTCATGGCCACCGCCTGCGGAATCGCTCTTCGGGAGCCTCGGAGGGCGGTGGCTACATGGATATATTGTGATAGATTTACCCCCCTCCAGGGCCCGAATACATATATATATATATATATATATATATATATATATATACTAGAACCACGCGCGCGCTTCGCGCGCGCTTAGGTTCTAGCTAGGAGGCGAGCTTGAGTCAACGAAAGTCGCAGGGAAGGGGGCAGGGGGAAGAAGGCCAGAGAGCGCTGAAGGATACAAATACTGGAACCCTCTTGTGATTTTGTGGGGGGCCTCGTCCGGCCGCTCGCTGGGAGTTTGACGTAGCTTCTCGGGAGCCTCTGAACCTGTCGGGGGCCTCCTGGAAGCAGGTTCGAAGCATTTTGGGGGCCGATTTGGGGCTTCTCGGGGCCTCCTTTGGGCCTCTTGGGGGTCTCCTGGGGCCTCTTGAGGGGCCTCCTTGGGGCCTCCTGGCGGCCTCTTGGGGCGGAAGGCTCGAGCTTGCGGTTCGTGGTCCCCCTCTGGGCCCCCTCTTGGGCCCGTCTTGGGGCCCTCTTGGGCCATCTTGGGCGCCTCTTGGGCCGTCTTGGGGCCCTCTTGGGCTGTCCTGGGGCCCTCTTGGAAGCTTCTTGGGCCGTCTTGGGGCGGTCTTGGAGGCCTCTTGGGCCGTCTTGGACGCGGTGAAAGCCCAAGATGCGAACATGCGAAAAATATACGTTTTCCCATAGGAATGGCACGATTTTTGTTTCTTGGACCTCTCTTGGGGTGCCTCTCGGAACGTCTTGGGCTGATTTTGGAAGCCTTTTGGCGCCTCTGGGCGGCGTTTTGGCGCCTCCTGGGATATGTTGGGCCGGAAGCTCGGAATTCGAGAGTGGCTTTCTCCTTCTGGGACCCCTCTCGAAGTCGTCTTGGGGTTCTCTTGGGCCGTCTTGGGGCCGTCCTGAGCCACTCGTGCGCAGCCTTGGAGCGCTCCCGGAGGCCTCGTAGACTGTCTTGGGCGCCTCTTGGGCCGTCTTGGGGCCCTCTTGGGCTGTCCTGGGGCCCTCTTGGAAGCTTCTTGGGCCGTCTTGGGGCGGTCTTGGAGGCCTCTTGGGCCGTCTTGGACGCGGTGAAAGCCCAAGATGCGAACATGCGAAAAATATGCGTTTTCCCAATAGGAATGGCACGATTTTTGTTTCTTGGACCTCTCTTGGGGTGCCTCTCGGAACGTCTTGGGCTGACTTTGGAAGCCTTTTGGCGCCTCTGGGCGGCGTTTTGGCGCCTCCTGGGATATGTTGGGCCGGAAGCTCGGAATTCGAGAGTGGCTTTCTCCTTCTGGGACCCCTCTCGAAGTCGTCTTGGGGTTCTCTTGGGCCGTCTTGGGGCCGTCCTGAGCCACTCGTGCGCAGCCTTGGAGCGCTCCCGGAGGCCTCCTAGGCCGTCTTGGAGGCCTCTTGGGCCGTCTTGGACGCGGTGAAAGCCCAAGATGCGAACATGCGAAAAATATACGTTTTCCCATAGGAATGGCACGATTTTTGTTTCTTGGACCTCTCTTGGGGTGCCTCTCGGAACGTCTTGGGGTGCTTTTGGGAGCCTTTTGGCGCCTCTTGGAGCCTCTTCTTGGGCCGAAGCTCGGAATTCGAGGTTGGCTTTCTCCGTCTGGGACCCCTCTCGAACTCGTCTTGGGGCTCTCTTCGGCCGTCTTGGGGCCGTCCTGGGCCACTCGTGCGCAGCCTTGGAGCGCTCCCGGAGGCCTCGTAGACTGTCTTGGGCGCCTCTTGGGCCGTCTTGGACGCGGTGAAAGCCCAATAGGCGAACATGCGAAAAATACACGTTTTCCCATAGGAATGGCACAATTTTTGCTTCTTGGGCCTCTCTTGGGCTGCCTCTCGGAGCGTCTTGGAGGCTTCTGGGACCTTCTTGGTGTCATGACAGGCGTCTTGGAAGGCATCTGGAGCCATCGGAGCGCGTTCCGAAGCCGCCTGCGAACGATCTTGGACGGCGTCCGGCGGTCCGACGAGCCTCCGGGCCCCCCGGGGCCCACATTTGTGGTCGGGGTCCCGGCCCCGGGCCCCCGGACCCGGTGCGCCGTTACCACGCGCGCGCGCTTCGCGCGCGCTTAGGTTCTAGCTAGGATCGTCACCGTCGTCATCATGAACATCACCATCGCCATCATTCCCCCCGCCAGGGCTAATGTACATCGTTTCTGGATGCTTCTGGCCGGAATACGAAAGGAGTTTCTGTAGTTAGAGTCTCTGGGGGAAGTCGCGGGGCCCCTCAGGATACTCACGGATGCCTCTGATAATCCCCCAGCGTGCCCCACGAGATGGCCAGAGGGTGTCCGAACAGAACCCGAGGACGGCGACGACGGCGGCGATGAAGACGGCGGCGATCGCGGCGACGAAGGTAGCGGCGGTTGCCATGGGTTGTGCGCGGGCCCTGGACCTCTCGACGACTTCCTGGGAATGTGTTTTTTTTTTTTTCCATCCTGAGTCGTTTTCTGACGGTCCCGGGACCCTGCGAGGGGCCCCGGAGGCTGAAAATTTACCGAAACCGCCGTCGTGTTTTTTCCAAGACGTCGGAGGTCCAGGTCGTGCTTCCCGCCTCCCCAGACCTCCGACGTCGTAATTTTTGCGACCTCGGGCCCAGGAATCGATTGGGAAAACGCACATGGGAAGGCAAAAAATGATGGACCCATCATTTCGTACCTGTGCCTTGATCAGTGGGACGGGCTTCGCACCGCCGCACATCACAAGACACGCTCGAGCGGATCCAGCCGTGGCGACGTCGGGGACTGCAGAAGGTCGCAAGGACACGAATCTGAAAGGAAGAGAGAGAAAGAGAGAGAGAGAGAGAGAGAAAGAGAGGGAGAGAGAGACAGACAGACAGAGAGAGCGAAGGAGAGAGAGAGAGAGAGAGAGAGCGAGAGAGAGAGATGGAGAGAGAGAGAGAGAGACAAAGAGAGAGAGAGAGAGAGGCAGAGAGAGGAAATGGAGAGGAGGCGAGCTTGAGTCAACGAAAGTCGCAGGGAAGGGGGCAGGGGGAAGAAGGCCAGAGAGCGCTGAAGGATCCAACTACTGGACCCCTCTTGGGATTTTTTGGGGGGCCTCGTCCGGCCGCTCGCTGGGAGTTTGACGTAGCTTCTCGGGAGCCTCTGAACCTGTCGGGGGCCTCCTGGAAGCAGGTTCGAAGCATTTTGGGGGCCGATTTGGGGCTTCTCGGGGCCTCCTTTGGGCCTCTTGGGGGTCTCCTGGGGCCTCTTGAGGGGCCTCCTTGGGGCCTCCTGGCGGCCTCTTGGGGCGGAAGGCTCGAGCTTGTGGTTCGTGGTCCCCCTCTGGGCCCCCTCTTGGGCCCGTCTTGGAGCCTTCTTGGGCCATCTTGGGCGCCTCTTGGGCCGTTTTGGGGCCCTCTTGGGTTGTCCTGGGGCACTCCTGGGAGCTTCTTGGGCCGTCTTGGGGCGGTCTTGGGCGCCTCTTGGGCCGTCCTGTAACGTCGGCAGCCCAAAAGGCAACTTTGTGAAAAATGTACGTTTTACGAAGGGAATGGGCCAATTTGTGCGTCTAGGGGCCCTCTTGGGACGCATGTTGGAGGCTTCTTGGGGCGTCTTGGGGGGCGCCCTTGGACGTCTGGATGCCATCTTCAGCATCTCGTAGCCCTCTTGGAGGCCTCTTGGAAGTTTCTTGGGCCGTCTTGGGCGTTTCTGGGGCCGTCTTGTCTGACTGGGGAGGCCTCCGGCAAGCCCCGACGAGCCTCCGGGGCCCCCGGGGCCCACATTTGTGGTCGGGGTCCCGGCCCCGGGCCCCCGGACCCGGTGCGCCGTTATATGTATATATATCCATATCCATATCCATATCCACCGCACCCCGAATATAGATAGTGATAGACCTACTCCCCCATCCAGGCACCCTCGTTTTGCAGCGCATAGATTGCCAATCTGGGAAGCAAGTGTTAAACAATATGGCCTTTCCACTGACCCAATATTCGGCGGTGGACAAACCTCCCTTGAATAAACCTCCCCTTGGTGACAACGGCCCAGGACCGAAACCGACTGACCTGGACCCGCAAAAATGACGGCCGTGACGCCCTCTCGCGAGCCGAAAACTGCCCATTCGCTAATCGACGTGTCAGGGTAGGGATGAGGTCTATCAACCTCCGACGTATCTGCTCAGGTGTGAGATGTGATTGCCGCTTACTGCCCTGCGCGGCAAGCACTTTCTCCCCTGCTGAGAGCCGCTGTGTCGTGCGACCTGGCTTGCGGACGACCCGCCTGCCGAGGTCCCTGAAGAGATCGGTCCCCCCCGGCAGTGGTGCTGGACGCATCCCCGCTAAGCCCAGCGGGGATGTACCGTTCTGAAGCGGATCGTCACACAGGTGTCGGTGGTTCGCGAATCGACCTCATCATCGTCCGCCTCCGCCTCCGCCTCCGCCTCCGCCTCCGCCTCCGCCTCCGCCTCCGCCTCCTCCTCCTCCTCCTCCTCCTCCTCCTCGTCCTCCTCAGCACCCAAATGGCGATCCGGCCCGTGGGGAGGGGGTAGGGTCTGCAGGTGTGGAGGAACAGAGAGAGCACGCGGTAAATTGTTGGAGGCTTCTGCGGATTTCTTGGATTAGCGCTGGATCCCCCTGCCCCCTCCCTGGCGCGCGGAGCGCGCCAGGGGCGGCCGGAAGCGCCGCCAAGGGGGCCAGGCGCCGATCCGAGAAACCCGCGCGGAGCTCCAAAAACACATATTCGTAATGGTACCGCTGCTCCCCCGACCTGTCCCAGGGTGCGTTCTGACAAGGATGTTTGACAACAAAAGTTCAGCCATGACGACGAGGGCCTCCCTGGAGGCACAAAGAGGCGATCTTCGAAGGTGGTGGCAAAAAGCCGAGATGATTTTCTCAGTCCGCGGCCCCAGAGGTCCCGACCGCTTCCCTGCGGGAAAGTCTTTTGCCCCAGAGTAGTTTGCCATGGCCCCAGAGCCCGATGACGGGCCCCGAGCGCCGAAACTCAGGAAAAGGTCCGGATTGAGAAAAGTATCGCCCGAGATCTGTGACGGACCTCTCCTGGGCTGCGTTCTGACGAGAATATCACCAACCATCTGTGGGCCTAGGTGGTGTAACGATGGTTCTTTCTCCTCTTCCGCAATCATTAATTCATTTTGCGGAAGGGTGCCCTCCCCATCCCCTCCCTAAAATGTTCTGTAGACAATTCCGCGAAGTGTCAGGGTTGTCGTGTCTCCCCTGAGATGGCAACAGGGAGCCTCCGATGCTCCAAGATGGCTCAAGACAGTCGACGATGGCTCAAGATGGCTTCACACATGCTCCAAAAAGCCCCAACGACTGCTAAATGACGGCCCCAAGTGCTGTCGGAGACCCTCAGGACCTCCGCAAAATTGCAAGATCGCTCAAAAACCAATGGAACATCAATGGTGTTCGCCGTCTCCCCTTTTCGCATCGGAGTGGCTTTGGAGGCCTCAAGATGGTCCCAAGATGGCCCAGTGGAGGCCCAAGAGGGGCCCAAGAGGCCCGCAAGACGGCCCCAAGAGCGCTCAAGAGGCCCCCAAGACGTCCCCCCCCCTCCCCCAAGAGGCGGTTTGAGGGCCCCAGAGGGGGGAAACGTTACGACGTTCGCTCCGTTGATCGATGGTCTCCAAGATGGCCCGAAGAGGCTCTCCAGGGCTCCCAAGACGGCCCCCCAAACCCCCAAAAGAGTTCCCAAAGGGCCCCCCCCCCACAGAGAGCCCCAAGAGGGCCACGAGACAGCCCCAAGACGACGCCCAAAAGACTTCAAGAAGACCCCAAGATTGCTGTCAGAGTCCTTGTCCTCGTCGTCCTCTTCCTCCTCCACGTCCTATTCCTCCTCCTCCTCCTCCTCATTCCCTTGCTCGTCCTCCTGTTCCTTCTCCTCCTCGTCCACGTCCTCCTCATCCCACACCTCCTGCTCGTGCTCCTCCTCGCGCCTCCCTGGGCAGCTGTTTCGATGTCCGCTTCTACACTTCCCTGAAGAAGGCCACTCGCCTGGGCATCGCTTCAGGATCTCGTCCGCCCGTTTCCCGTCAACTCTCATCGGCAACGTTTCTGAACGGGCTGGTGTCAGGGGGGCGTAAGACCCGGGTACAGGGGACTCGAAAATGCCCGACGAGGTCGTCAAACAAATGACGAGGCCGAGCCTGCATTTTGACGAGGCCTCCCGCTGCAGACATCCCACGAAACTCCTACTCGTCAAAATCCGAATCGCGGTCGTCAAAAAACGATGGCGAACCCGAGTCCTGGCAAACCCGGGTCTTACGCTCCCCCGATGGTGGGGACACGCGGACCGCGAAGACTTTCGAAGCGCAACCGGCCGGGATGCCGCGACGAGGGCCTCCCAGGGCGCCCCCAAGGGCGAAAACTACGGACATGTAGCGGCATCGGTCTGGTCTGCATGGGCTCCCAACTTCGCGCTTCGCGCTGCGCGAAGCGCAAAGTGCGAATAACTTCGCGCTCTCGCGCCGCCTCCCAGGGGAGAAGAGGAGGCTGAGGAGGAATATCGGAGCCGAACCGCGAAGCGCGAATAATTTCGCGCCCTCAAGGCGCCCTTGACTACGGAAATGTAGCGGCATCGGTCTGGTCTGCGGGTCAAGACTCGGGCATCCCGTGGCCGATCGAGACGATCGGAGCACCCCCAGAACGCTCTCGGCGAAGCGCAGCTGCTGGAGAGCATCCCGAGGCTGGAAACCCAGAGCACCGGCGAAAACGCCTGGAGTTCCCGAGTGCGTGGCATGGGGTACAGTGGGAGCTCGACCACAGGAAACCTTCCACAAGACACCCCACCCTGAGACCCCAGGACGTCCATTGATTGTTAGTGTGGGAGCGTCACGCTCTCCGCAGCAAAACCACCGAAACCCAAGAAACCCAGAGGACCCCTGGAGGCAAGCAGGGTGTTTCGTGGCCTGGGTTTCCACTGGATGGCTCGCAGGTGGCCGCACCTGCGGCCACAGCTGCAGCAGCTCGCGCAGGCGGTCGCCGGCGGGGCTGCCAGGCAGCAGCGCCCGGGGCCGCTCGGAGGCCAGCCGCAGCAGCAGGCGCCTGGCGTACCCACGCGCCTCTAGAAAAAAAAAACCGTTGTACACGTAAACTCAGGTCGGGCATGTCCTCCTACAGGCGGCATTCGGACAACAAATGGTAAAAAGTCAAACAACAATCACCAACTTCATATAAAAAACACGAACATCGTCGCCAGATTATCGTTTTACTATTCGTGGATCTTCCCCCTGTAGAGGGCCTACCCGACTTAGACGTGAACTTTCGGAGCTTCGCGCGGTTTTCTCGCATTGGCGCCAGGGCCCCCTGGCGGCGCCTGTTGCGCCGCCCCTGGCGCGCTCCGCGCGCCAGGGAGGGGGGGGGGGGGTCCAATGCCGATCAAAGAGATTCACACCGACCTCCGGAAATGTAGGCTGAGGCAGGTCTTCACTGTCCGAGCCTCCGCGTTCTGCGCCAGCAGCGCGTGCAGCAGTGCCCACGGTCGCGACGCCTCGCGGTCCTCCAGGGATCTCCGACGAGACGATTGTGTCAATCTGGGCGGCATCCCCGCCCTCCAAGGCCGACAAACATGTATCTGGGACGATGGAGTCCGAGTAGGTGGGGTCGGTGGATCGCGCAGCATCGTCGATGCATCGCAGATGCATCGCCGATGCATTCGGCGACGCTAGCGATGCATCGGCGACGCCAGCGCAGAGAAAATCGGGCCCCACATCAAGCCGCATCGGCGATGCATAGGCGATGCGGTGCGGTTCATCGGGACCTCAGGTGGTTTCGTCCAATTTCGCGCCCCAGGGCACTCACAGATCGATCCTGCTCGAGAAATTCAGCAAGATGGGGCCCAGGGTTCTGGTTGCGTTTCTACGATTCCGCATTCTTTTTCGCAACGTCCGATCTCAGAGTATGCAGGGCCCGGTCGTGGCGTATGCGCCCCCCTGGCCGAGGCCAGGAGGGTCTGCACGACATCCTCGTGCACAAGATGGCCCATGCCAAGTTAGGAGGCAACTTCTGCGAGGTCTGCGTAAGAACGAGTAGGGGATACCAGATTAGCCCCGGATTGAGCACAAGAATAAGTCGGATTGAAGCGGGAGTAAGCCAGATGAAGCGGGAATAATGCTGGATTTGGCCGGTTTTCGACAACAGATATACCAGCGCCGATGCTGAGTGTAACCTCCACCCTGAGACCCGATGTCGCTAAAAACGTTAAACATGGTCAAGATCTCAACTGGAGCCCTAGACCCCATTCATCTGCGGCGGTTTTCGAGCCAGATCGATCTGTGATCGTCCGAGGACCCGAAGCTGGGCGAAATCCCCGGATGTGAAAACCATGCTGCACCAGGATCTCAGGGATAGCAGCGCCGAATAATTAGACCTACCAGGAGTTCTATCCTGAGGCAGGCACGGTGGTGTTGCACGGATCGGGTGTTGGCGGGACTGAACTTAATGAGATCTGGTTTAGTGATGTGTACTGGGGCACCCCCCACGCCCCATTCCACTAACTGGAACTGCCGTCATCCCGAGAAACACCAGCTACGGCAGGCTTGGTTTAGTAACTCTGGTCCATGTTTGGGGCTTCGGGTCCCAATCACTAACCAGCTCCACTGAACCAAGGTCCTGGCCATATCCGAACGGATGCCCTCTGGCGAAGCCTTAGCGTCGTCTGCTGGTTCGCGTTCGGCGCTGGCTACCTCTGCAGGGCGCGCGGCAGATGGCGCATGGCACGCCTCTGCCGCCTCTGCGGTCGCATACGGCCGCGTCAATCCAGAGATCTCCAGGAGGCGGATCCAGACGGGGTCAGGCGTGGACGAGATACAGCGCAGCAAAGATCGGGGGCGTCCAAGAGGGGGGCGTCCAAGAGTCGGAGGCCCAAGTCATGGCCGGCGGCATGTGCGCGGCCCAGGGGGGGGGGCATGATATCCCCCACCCTAGTCATCACCCCCCTCGTGGCCGCCCCGAAAATAGAGGCCTCCTATGTAGATGGGTCAAACAAGATGGGGTTGGAGGATCGCGCCACATCGCCGATACATCGGCGATACATCGCCGATGCGTCCGCGATGCATCGGCGACGCAAACGTGGAGGGAATCGGGCTCCGCATCGAGCCGCATCGCCGATGCATCGACGGTACGGCGCGATCCTCCGACCCCATCTACTCGGACCCCATCTAGGAGGCCGGCGGCGCGTGCGCGGCCCAAGCGAGGGAGGGGGGGCGGGCACGCACCGAGACGAGAAGAGGCGCCATGAAATCTGGTGAGATATCATGGCGCCCGCCATGTCATCCCCCCCCCCCATACTCATCACCCCCCTCCTGGCCATCGCTCGGACGTCCATTCCCTGTGTTTTTTTCGGTTTCGTGCGTGGTTTTTTCGCCAAGTGATCAAGGATGCTCCTTGATGGTCCTCGCCGAAGGAACAATGCACACGTCCGAGCGATGCCAAGCCTCCTGGCCGCCCCCGAGCAGAGAGGAGCGGATCCTTGGCGCCGTCCGCCGGGGCGCGCTCGGCGAAGAGCGCCCGGTCGACCAGCCGCTCGAACGCGTTCATGCGGGCCGCGCTGGGCGCGCCGGCGCGGGCGGCGCGCCGCCGAGCCAGAAATGGCTGCTCGTTGGGACCAGCCCAGAAGGGGTCTCAACAAGAAAAAACAGAGCCAACAAGTGGGAGAGGCAGTGGGAGCTCGACCACAAGAAGCCCTCAACAAGTAGCCCAACCCTGAGACCCCAGGGTGTCAAGTGAGCTTTGGTGTGGGAACGTCACGCCTTCCACAGCAAGACCATCGGCACCCAAGGAGCTTAGGGCACCCTGGAGGCAAGCAAGGTGTTTCTTGGCGTGGATTTCCACTGAAGGTATTTTCGGCGCGGGTTTATTTACGGATTGACGCCCCCAGCGATACTGGGAACATGGTTCTTCCCGGCCGGCGGCCACTGCTGATGATCGGGGGGGATGAGGATCCCTGATGGTGATGATAGCGATGATAATTATGATGCCGACGACGACGATGATGATGGGGAAGATGATGATGCTGCTAATGATGATGGCGGTGAAGCTAGGTGTGATGGTGATGGTAATGATGATGGTGACGACGACGATGACGATACGATGACGATGACAATGATGATGACGATGATGATGACGACAATGAAGACGACGATGGTAAACATAATAAGTATAGCAGTAATCGTAATAGTAGTAGTAGTAGTAGTAGTCGTAGTAGTAGTAGTAGTAGTAGTAGTAGTAGTAGTAGTAGTAATAGTAGTAGTAGTAGTAGTAGTAGTAGTAGTAGTAGTAATAGTAGTAGTAGTAGTAGTAGTCGTCGTAGTAGTAGTAGTCGTAGTAGTAGTAGTAGTAGTAGTAGTCGTAGTAGTAGTAGTAGTAGTAGTAGTAGTAGTAGTAGTAGTAGTAGTAGTAGTAGTGGCAGTAGCAGTAGCAGTAGCAGTAGCAGTAGCAGTAGCAGTAGTGGTGGTAGTGCTACTGATAATACTGATAATGATGATGATGATGATGATGATGATGATGATGATGATGATGATGATGATGAGGATGATGATGACGATGACGATGACAATGATGACAATGATGACAATGATGATGATGATGATGATGATGATGATGATGATGATGATGATGATGATGATGATGATGATGATGATGATGATGATGATGATGGGAAGGACGAGGAAGGACCGAATTTCATTGCCAGCCGAGAGCTTGTGGGGGGGAGCCCCGGCAGCATTCAAGACCCTCTGAGGTTAGAGGAAGAACCACAACATAAAAACGAACGTTCGGAGCTCCGAGGGGACGCCTCGAATCGGCGGTGGGCCCTCCCTGGCGGCGCCTCCGGCCGCTTGGAGCCCAAACGGCTCTTTGCGCACTCTGCGAGCGCACTTGAAGTGGCCTCCACGCCCTCCACGCAAAGGACACACCTGCACGGACAGGACCTCTCGGAACTCCGCGCGGACTTCTCGGATCGGCGCTGCATCCCGCCCCCTCCCATTCGGCGCCCCGCGCGCCAGGGGCGCCGCCGGGCGGGGCAGCGCCAGTCCAAGGGACTCTCTCGGACCTCCGAAAGCTTACTTGCACTCCGAGTTGCATACTGAAAGAGGGGGAACCTTATTTCCTACTCCGAATTGCATATTTTTACTCCGAATTGCAAACTGAAAGAGGGGATCAGATGTATTGCATACTGAAATCGCATATGCTTACTCCGAATTGCATACTGAAAGAGGGGGATCCTCATTTGTTATTCCGAATTGCATATTTTCCTCCCGATTGCATACTGGAAGAGGGGGTCTGACTTGAGCTCTTGGAGGGGTCTGCGGGATCTGGGCAACAGGCCGCCCTTGCAAGGCTGGTCCGGGGGGGATGACCCAGGAGCCTATGGAGCATAGCCCATGGAGCAGTGGCTGGGGTTCGTGGTGGATAGCTGTTGCTGCGACCGCAGCTGTTCAGCTCAAGGCCCGCGTAACTGAACCAATTGCAAGGCAGACCTCTACCACGCAGCTGGTCGAGCGGTACTTGACACAGATGTTGCCTTGACCTCCTCTCGCACACAACAGTACTTCGTACGAAACTCGGAATGCATCAGTAGGCTCAGGCTTGGATCGGTGCAAAGAGTGGCGCGTTCCTGCAACCTTCCCGCGCGAGACGGGGGCGCGTTCCTGCCGCTCCTGCGCGCGCTGCCGAAAATGCCCACTGCTGCTGGTGCTTCCATCGCACTTCAGGGCCACATCCCAGAACCAATTCCGAGCACCCAGGCAGGTATCGAAACAGTGCATGCCCGACGCGCTGGCGAAGTGTCGAACGTGTAACTCGCCTCTCAGAGCCCGACATGTGGTAACCCTGCAGTTTCGGTAATTAGTCTCGTGGTGTTCGAATTTCTTTCTGGCGGTCAGGGCTAAATCGTGCTGTAACATCATACGGTGCCTACCACTCTCGGTGGCACACTGAGGAGGCGTCTCGTGGTCACTGCCGACGTTCCCCTCGAGGCTGGGGAGCCAGGAAGCGCCCCTGGGCCAGGCCCTGGGAAGGACCTCTGCCCCCCCCCTGCCCCGAGAACTCAACCACTTAAGACGAAGCCAGGACAAGGATGACATCGGGTGAGAATGAATCGGGAATCTCTGAGATATGCCGGCTCTGGAGGATGTCTCGGGCGCCGCGGCCTTCTCAGAGCGTTCCAGAACGCTCCCAGAGGGTTCTGGAACGCTCTGAAACTGATTTATCCTCGTCCTGGCCCCGCCTCCTCCTCCTCCTCCTCCTCCCCCTCCCCCTCCTCCTCCTGCTCCTGCTCCTGCTCCTGCTCCTCCTCCTCCTCCTCCTCCTCCTCCTCCTCCTCCTCCTCCTCCTCCTCCTCTCCTCCTCCTCCTCCTCCTCCTCCTCCTCCTCCTCCTCCTCCGCCTCCTCCTCCTCATCGTTTTCATTCTCTCCTCCTCCTCCTCTCCTCCTCCTCCTCTTCATTCTCTCCTCCCTCTCCCCCTCCTCCTCCTCCTCCTCCTCCTCCTCCTCCTCCTCCTCCTCCTTGTCCTCCTCCTCCTCCTCCTCCTCCTCCTCCTCCTCCTCTCTGCTCCTGCCCTGCTCCTGCTCCTGCTCCTGCTCCTGCTCCTGCTCCTGCTCTGCTCCGCCTCCGCCTCCTCCCCTCCTCCTCCTCCTCCTCTCCTCCTGTCCTCCTCTTCCTCCTCTTCCTCCCTCTCTTCCTCCTCTTCCTCCTCTTCCTCCTCTCCTCCTCTTCCTCCTCTCCTCTTCCTCCTCCTCTTCCTCCTCCTCATCCTCCTCATCCTTGTCCTTGGCCTCCTCCTCCTCCTCCTCCTCCTCCTCCTCCTCTTCCTTGTCCTCCTCCTCCTCCTTATCCTCCTCCTCCTCCTCTTCTTCTTTGTCTTCTCCTTAGTATTATTAGTATTCTTCTTCTGAGTATTATTATTGTTATTAATATCATTAGTATTATTATTGTTATTATTATTATTATTGATAGTATTGCTATCAGTATTCGTATTATTCGTATTATTAGTAGTAGTAATAGTAGTCGTATTATCATGATTATTATTCGTATTATTATTACCAATAGTCACTGTTATTATTAATAGTATTACTACTACGAGTAGTATTATTAGTATTATTAGTAGTATGATTATTAATATTATTATTATTAGTAGTATTATTATTATTCTTATTATCATTAGTAGTATTATTATTATTAGCATTACTATTATTAGGATTCGTCTTCGTTTTCGTTTTCGCCTTCGTCTTCTTATGATTATTCTGCTCCTGCTCCTGCTTCTGCTTCTGCTTCGGCTTCTTTTTCTTCTTCCTCCTCCTCCCTCCTCCCTCCTCCCTCCTCCCTCCTCCCTCCTCCCTCCTCCCTCCTCCCTCCTCCCTCCTCCTCCTCCCTCCCCTCCCCCTCCTCCCTCCTCCCTCCTCCTCCTCCCTCGTCCTCGTCCTCGTCCTCGTCCTCGTCCTCCTCCTCCTCCTCCTCCTCTCCTCCTCCTCCTCCTCCTCCTCCTCCCTCCTCCTCCTCCTCCTCCTCCTCCTCCTCCTCCTCCTCCTCCTCCTCCTCCTCCTCCTCCTCCTCTCCTCCTCCCTCCTCCTCCTCCTCCCTCCCTCCTCCTCCTCCTCCTCCTCCTCCTCCTCCTCCTCCTCCTCTCCTCCTCCTCCCCCTCCCCCTCCTCCTCCTCCTCCTCCTGCTCCTGCTCCTCCTCCTGCTCTTGCTCCTCCTCCTCCTCCTCCTCCTCCTCCTCCTCCTCCTCCTCCCCCGCCCCCTTCCGTAGCCATTTTGGCTCATGCCTTTCCGTAGGCCCCCTGCTCCTGGACCTTGTCCCTCGGCGTACCCTGCGACCCCAGGTTCACGGGGCAACGCGGCGGGCGTGAGGGACTTGGGGGAGCGGGGCTTTTGGCTCACGGGCATGATGGCTGTACGGGAGGAGGCTCTGGAGAGCCCCACAAAGCGCTCGGCTCAGCGCCGAGCTGCCCAGCGCGCCGCTGCCGCCGCGGCCGACTCCGCCATCCGTCGGTTGCAGGCGCAACTGGCCGCTGCGCTCGCGGACGCTGCTGCTTCCCGAGCGGCGCTGGAGCAGCTGGTCAGGCAGGAGGGGCAAGAGGGCGGCGAGCTGCTAGCGCGGCTCCGGCTGGTGGCGCCGGTGTTGGCCGCCGGCATCGCCCAGGAGGACCCCCCGCCTCTGGCCGTAGCGCGGCGCAACCTCGCCTCGCACGAGTTTGGCATCCCCGCCTCTGATTTCGCGGAGGCGCAGGGGGCTGTGCTGAACCGCCTTCAGCGCCAGGGACGTGGTCGCCGTCCTCGCGGTCGTCGTCCCCGTGGCTCTGTTCGCGCTGGAGGTGGAGTGGAGGACGGTCTGCGCGCAGACGCTGCTTGCTTCCACCCGATCCTCGGCCTCACCGTGGATCCCGTCGGGCACAGGTGCACCTGTGGAGCAGTGGTTTTCTCCAGCTGCGCCGAGATTGTGTCAGATGTCAGGGTGTGCAGCAACAGCAGCAGTACAGCGTGGCAGGACGTGGATATCCCAGACGTCCCCCTCGCTGCTGGTCATGTGGATTGCCCCGACCGTGTCTCGAGCGCAGCGTGGTGGGCTGCTCGCGACCGCATTGCTCGAGTCT